ATTTAGGAATTACTTTTGATCTGGGGATACGACTTTACCCTGTTAAAATTTGGCGCCGTTTCCGGGGAAACGGTTTTATTTTTATTTCTGATTATTTTTGTAGTCTAGGTTATTTGTTTTTGTCACGGAGAACGTTAGTTCTTTGAGGCAAATATCATATTTGATTTTAGTTTTTTTTTTTGTTTATGCCCAGGTGTTCTAGATCAGGGTACATCCCATTCGATCCTGAGATCGAACGATCCTTTCATAGACAGAAGAATTTCTACAAGCAAATTCTGGCGAACTCTGGTGATAATAATAATCACCGCGATCCTCCAACTGGTTCTAGCGATTCAGAGGTATCATCAGACACAGAATCATAGATGACGACTCCAAAGAAGCTTAGTGATTACTCACAACCAAAGCTTACAGATTTTCCACATCTCACCCCTATTCCGGCTCTTGATGGGGTACAATTTGAAATTAAACCTCAATTTATAACGATGATAGAGAGGAAGCAATTTAGTGGAGCCAAGGGTGAAGACCCAAATCTTCACATTGCCGACTATTGTCAATATTGTAATACCATCAGGCAAGCCGGGGTCACACAAGACCAAATCAGGGAGATTCTCTTTCCTTTCTCTTTAGCTGGAAAAACTAAATTGTGGTTTAATGGCTTAAATAGAACTGCACTTGGTATAACTGACTGGGAAACTCTTGTTGTGAATTTTTATAACAAGTATTATCCGGCAGAGAGAACAACCGTACTACGGAATGCGATTCAGAACTTTGCCCAAGAAGTCGATGAATCTTTATATGAGGCTTGGGAGAGGTTTAAGGACCTACAAAGAGAATTCCCCCATCATAATTTAGCACAATGGCAGTTAATCCAAGCCTTTTACAATGGCATTGGAAATTCTTCTAGAATAATTTTAAATTTTGCAGCTAGTGGGAGATTTATGAATCTTAATGTTGATGATGCAGGTCAGGTTATTGAAGATATGGCGATAAATTATTCCCAGTATGGGAATCCTAGAGGCTTTGCTAACAAGGGGAAGTATAGTGTTGACTCTGTATCCTTTTTGCAAGCTCAACTGACCTCTATCTGCCAAAAATTAGATAATCTTAGCACTGCTAATGTAGCTAATGTTTCTGCAATTAATAATAATTCTAATGAGGCTTTCTGTGAAAATTGTGGAATTTTAGGTCATTGGGAACAAGATTGCAGGAGTTCCGTGGAGCAAGTTAATGCCTTTCAAGCTTATAGGTAGAATAACCCATACTCCAACATCTACAATCCTGGGTATCAGAATCATCCGTACCTTTCCTACCGGAGTACTAATGTTCAAAATCCACCACCACAAGAACCACAGGCACCACAGCAACAACAACAGAAATATTACCACCCCAATGCTGGCTAGAAAAACCAACCACAACAATCCTCCTCATCTTCCAACCCCTCTTTGGTGGAAATTAGAGCGATGTTGGTTAATATGCAGAAGCACATGGAGAGTAGAGATGCGCAAATTGATTCAATTCTAGCACATAATAAAATTGTAGATAATCAAATTGCGCAACTTTCCGCTACTCTACAAGCCCGCCAACAGGGAGCTCTGCCAGCACAGCCGACCAGGCCTACGGATCAAGCCTATGAAATTACTCTAAGGAGTGGTTCAAACTATGAAGGGCCCCCTATGCTCAGAGTTGATGAACCTGTTTTATTAAATAATGCTAATCTTGATTCCGTTAAACCAAACAATGTAGTTAATAGCCCTGTAGGGCTAAAGCATAGTACTAATACATCTAATTTTGCATTACAAGGTACGACTCTAGAGAAGGTGGCCACTCCAGATAAGAGCAATAATGCTCCAAAGCCAATTATCAAACTTCTATTCCCCAATCGTCACTTGAAGACAAACTTGGATAAGCAGTTTGGTAAGTTCCTGGAGATGGTAAAAGATTTGAGGGTAACAGTTCCCTTCACTGAATTAATCACACAAATTCCTTCGTATGCAAAATTTATGAAATAAATATTGACAAGGAAAAGGTCTATTAGTGAGGTAGAGACAATAGCTTTCACTGCAGAGTGTAGTGTCGTACTTCAAAATAAGTCTCCACCTAAATTAAAAGATCCGGGTAGTTTTTCTATCCTTTGTCATATTGGCAATCTAATGATTGATAATGCATTGTGTGATTTGGGTGCTAGCGTTAGTGTCATGCCATTATCTGTGTGTTCCAAGTTGAATATGGGTAAATTAAAATCTACTAATATTACTCTACAAATGGCCGACCGTTCTTTCAAATACCCCTTAGGTGTTTTAGAGGATGTCCCCGTTAGAGTAGGTAAATTTTATATACCCGTTGATTTTGTTGTTCTTGATATGGCTGAGGATATGCAAACCCCAATTATTTTGGGTAGACCATTCCTCAACACTACAGGAGCAATCATAGATGTGAGAAGTGGCAAGTTAACACTATCAGTAGGGGACGATAAAATTGTTTTCAATATTAATAATACCCCTAAAAGCCCCATGACAGAGGAGAAGTGCTTTAGTAAATGTGGTTGAGAATTATTCTAATAAGCCCCAAGCTCTTGAAAAAGATCCCTTAGAGGCGGTATCTTGTGTTGCATCCCTTTCAGATGAGATAGACAAATGGAAGAAGGAAGTTGATGCAATAGAAAGAGCACTCTACACTGTTGGCCTTGGTTTTGAGGACGAAAAGGTGGAATCAATCAAGCAAGTTGTGCAATTTGAGCCTACGGTAAGTGTTCCGCCAGATCGAGTTGCAAGTGTTAAATGCAATGACAATTTGAAGCAACCCTTGATCAAAGAAGGATCTTTGGTGCGTAGCATTGAAGGACTCCCAATCCAAGTCAAGGAGGATCCACCAGACAAAGTGAATTGGCGTCCCACAGGGCATGTCAGGAAGCCGCGTCGTAGCCAAAACACCGCTAGACCGGGTGAGAAACCGCCCCATCAAGCGTTTGGCCAAGGGTCCTAGTTATTGTACTTGGTAAGAAGGTCGTGCGGGACCTCGATAAACCAGCGCTTTGCGGGAGGCAACCCGTATTTCTTGCTTTCTAGACTAAATTTTCCCTTATTTTTATTTTTATTTCTTTTAGAGAGGTGAGGAGAGTGAATTTTACCTTTCATGAGTGTTTTGTACATGTTTTAGATCACAAAGTACGGAGGTTTCAAGAGAAAAAGGCGAAGAAAGAGAAGCTCCAAGCTTGGGTACGGGCCCGATCGGGCGCGCACCTAAGGTCAGAATTGAAGAATATTTCGCCCGATCGGGCAAGGATTCCCGATCGGGCGCAAAATATTGATTTTATCGGAGCTTTATTTCGCCCGATCAGGCAAGGGGTCCCGATCGGGCGCGAAAGTGAGGGAAGAAATCAAGGGAAATTTCGCTCGATCGGGCGGAATTTTGGAGAAATTGAGTGCCACAAAAAGAAATATCAGGCGAGCAAATGGCGATTCCCAGGTTCGAGTTCGCGCCCGATCGGGCGCGCACTTTGCAAATCAGCATAAACTACCTTCGCCCGATCGGGCGTGCCTATTTTATCCGGAGGATTTATTCTCCTTCTCCCTTTCTCTTTTCTTTTTCTTTCTTACTTCTTCTTTTTCTTTCACACTTTCTCTCTCTAAAACCTCCATTTTCAAACCTTCAACTTCACTTTCAATCCAAGATCTCCTCAAATTCACCCATCAAAACCTCAAAATTTTTACATATTCTTAATCCTCCCACCTTCCTCTACATTCTCCACCCACTTTCTCCCACTTTCTCTCATAAATTCTTCTAACCCTTAGAGAGAGAAAGCTTCAAATACCCAATTTTCCACCTACATATGGCTTCAAAGCGTTCTAGGCAATAAAGGGACGAAAGTTCGAGGCAACAACAACCAGTAGTCAACCCGGAGCTTCAAGTACCGGGATGGGAGGAGGTTGTTATCACCTCGGAGGAACAACGGCTAGGATGCTAAATCTCATCGATAGACAGGTAATCTCAACCCGCTTTGTTCATCATCCAACGTTATCTAGACTAGGTCTTGATAAATATGTGGAAAAATTGTTTAAGGGTATAGGCATGAGTGGTTTCTTTCAAATGTGCCATGATACATATGATTATTTAACATTAGAATTTATCTCTAGTTTTAATGTTATTAAAATGAATGATATAATCACTCATGTGCAATTCCGATAATTGAACAACGATGTGCGTTTAACTCTTAAAGAATTTGGAAAGTTGTTAGAATTAAAATCGGATAAACAATCGAACCCTCCTAAGCCACATTGTTGTGGTCTACAAGAGACTCACTGGGGAGGGTTTGGCCAACCTCCAACACGCCAAAGGGACGTGGATTCAACATCCCGTCCAAAAGTTTTGGCAAAGATTTGTCGGCCTCACTATATTTGGGAGGCATGAACCGGCAAATGTGAGGAGGGATGAATTAGAATTATTGGCATCCTATGTAATCCCTAATACTGAAAAATTGAACATACCCCATAGGATAGCCAATCACTTCCAAAGGGCGGCCAATGCGGCCGAAGCGGGTAGGTTTAGGGCACCTATTTATTTTGGGGGGTTAGTGACCCATATTGCCATCAAACACTAGGTTGGAACCCGGATGGGCATAGGAAAGTAGCGGGCTCAAACCTTATGGACCTAGCCTATTTAGGGAGCCTAAATTGGGTGCAACCCGTGGGAGGTGACACTTGGTGGATAGTCCACTGACAATCGGGTAGAAGAGACCAAGCCTTTACCTTACCCAACCCCGCCTTGACCAAATTTGAGAAGGGGAAGCCTTCTTACACATTTGAGATTAACGGTCAAGGCGAGGTTCAAGCACCTCACCCTTCACCACAACCCCACCAATCACCCCAAGGCCAATCCCCCCACACTACCCACCACCTCCACCCTTCACCTATGGCATACCCACTTCCTCGGTCGATTATAACGTCGACCCCAATGCCCCTTATGACTTTTCGGCTTTTAGAAGCCAATTGGACCGTATAGAGATGGGGCAAGGGAGAGTTGAGGGCATGATGCAAAACCTAGATTCTAGGTTAAGCACCTTGGATGGTCGGGTAGGTCACATAGAGAGGAACCTTGGGAGGGGTTTATACCCCATGTACGATGACTATGCACTCCGAGGGGCTATCCCCCCCGAGGAATTAGTTCCTGACTGGTTCCAATACCCCCAAGGAGGGCATTCCACCCCCGGAGAATTTGGTACTTATGTGGACTACTCTTCAGTACATGGATATGGGGGTGATGCTCCTTTTGGGGGTATGGGGGGAAATGTGAACCCTAACTACTTTGCAGGTGGTTCGGGTTATGGTGGTGCTGGAACGAGCCAGGGTGGTGCCGGCTCGAGCTATGGAGGAGGGTATGAGAGGATGGATGATGATGAGGAGTAGCTTCTCCTAGCTACCCTCCCAAGTCAATGAGAACATTGCTTGATTTGGCTTGAGGGGAGATTTCTTGTATATATGGTAACCCTCTTTCTCATGGTTCCCTGGCGCTTCATGGGACGAAGCCCGAGGCTCCCGAGTCGGCAATTTAGTTTGAAATCTTGTTAGCCGGTAAGCCCAACCCTTCCCTCAGCTTGAAAACAACCCAAAGGATGGAGAATTTCCTACATATGCGGTGGCGGGCGGAGCGCTCTATATGTATATGACCAGCGGCGGGTTACCAGAGAAGAGGGAACAACTGCGTTTTGTTTTGAAGCGAAGGCATTATTGAACGAAAGAGATGCCGGGCCGGTCAATTGCATTAAGTAGGGGATGCAGGACCTGTCTTAACCACAAGTGCATTCGTCATCGCTCTGCAGTACGAACCTCATATAGAGCCGCGCTCATCGGGCGGAGCGCACCTTTGGTACTTCAGTCGTGTGAGGCGACCGTGAAGTCACCGGATGAATTGCCGGGCTGCCGCTTCTTCGATCCGGAATTCCCAGCAAATCCTTGACTCCTCGAATACAATGGGCTCTAGTGCAGGAAGTTTCGCCAGAAGCAAGCAAGACGAGGTCGCTCTGCGGGCGGAAGCCGAACTCCTCTTGAAGAATCAGCTCAACTTAAAAACAGTTTCGGGCCAATCCATAAACCCGGAAACGAAACAAAGTGCGTTCCCTTTCGTCAAGTAGGTAAATAGCTGCCACCGGAGCCACAAAGGACTATCTAAACGGATTCTTTTCTGACGATAAGCTGAAGCCGAGCCTTTCCAGCAATGGGGCTTAGGGACCGATATGATGATTGGTTTAGGTAGGGCGGCCGGCCTACTACGGGCACCTGTAGGGATTAGTGTGTGAGCTTCGATAGCGGCTAGGTCTAGAGGGAAGCGTCCGGCTTTGAAGGGGGGCGATCTTATAGGATAGGATCCTATCCGTCCGTTAGGTCTTTTCGGTCACGGAGCCGGAAAAACCGGTATCGGCGGCCTTAGTGATCCGACGGTGCCGAGTGGAAGGGCCGTCGCTCAACGGGAAAACACGCAGCTGGGATTCGGGGACAAGTCAGTGGGCTGGAAAAAGCCCTCTATCCGTAGAGTACATTGAATGTACAGAAATGGCTCTAACAGCTCGATCAAACTTGCGTTCTCCAGGCGCTATGAAATGGGGGTCTTTCCTTCGCCTATCATATGTATCGGCTTGGTGCATATTCAGCTCCGGTTGCAGCGGCTACTGCGTAAGGCAATGCAATTGACTTACTTACTTGAATAAGTAAGGAAGGGAAAGCGAACCACAGAGAAAGTCAAGCCGGCTTCTGTGGGAGTACTTTTTTTTTCGCATTGCCCTAGTTACTTCATGGCTCCTAGCCCTAGAAGGGCTTTATGCCCTGAATATGCTTGCTTTCACGTCTTTCCCCCCCCCCCTTGAAAGAACATCGGTACTTCTCTATTTATTGCTTTCCTAGTGTAGTTTTTTATTGCTTTCCTCTATGAAAAAAAAAATACAAAAAATTTTGAAAAACAAAAAAATTCAAAAATACGTTCCAATGAATTGTAAATCATGCTTCCCTGTGTCCCATACTTAGAAAATATTGTTTTGATTCTTGGTATATGATAATGAGCTTTGTGAATTTGTTGATCATGATTTGAAGTTTAATTGTTTGAATTCCTAAACATGCATCAATTTTGCCAACTATTTGTGAATTTAGTGCTTGACTAATTGATTTGGTTAGGAATGTGTGTTAGTTCCTGGTATGTCAATGAATTTGAGTATTGGTTTGCAAATATTAGTAATGTTTATATAGCTCAATATTATGCACAATGAGGAGGACGAAGGCATTTGTTCTTTTAGGTAGACTTCAGACGATATTAGATATATTTGTTCCCTTCTTGCTACCCATGTTGTTGCTTGTTCCCTTTTATTGTTTATTTAGCCACATTACAAGCCTATATGAGTCCCATTGGTTACTAGTCCCAAGCTTGGCTTGGGGGAGCTATTAGTTGGTGAGGTGAGGGAGTTGTGGTGTGTACATTATTTGCACAATGTGGGAATAAAAGAAGAGTGATTGTTCTTTGATATTATGATTGAAAAATATTGATGTTTTGTATTACAAAGTTGAAAATTTCCAGTATGAGGTAAAAAGAAAAAAAAGAGCAAAGAAGAAAAAAAATTGTTTCATATGTTCAAATGTTCTATTTAAAGGTTGTTAAAAAAAAATGAGAGAAAATTCAAAAGAAAAAAAAGTTCAAAGTTTGAAAAAAAAAGAAATAAAAAGAATAAGTGGTTCAAAGTTTGTTTTAATTCACTCTATTTCATATTATCATATTTTGTGAGTGAATATATAAGTGTTGGGATTGTGTTGTATATATGATTATTTGATGAAATTTTGTGGAGTTGAGTTGTGATTGGAGATGTTTTGGTCATCACTTGTTGTGACCTTGGGTTTTATAGAGATATGGCTCCCTTTAGCATGGCTTTCCTCTCACATTTTCCCAAATTTATCCTACCCTTTACCCTAGCCTCACATTACAAGCTTTAAAGACCTTCCGACCTTTGTGCATAGAGTTGTATGAATGTGAAAGTGTTGTTTATCAATGCAAGTTATGACTTAACATATTTCGAGTCGACTAGTAGGTTGAGCGTTCATTGTTTTATACACACGAGAGTGTGAGATGGGAGGGCATTGTTCACAAATAAAGGGGTTTGTTGGAGAGCGATCGATTACATATTTTACTCGCCACATAAATGAGAGTTGAGTGCGTGAGCACTAGTCTTGAATTCTATATGCTCATGTGGTTTGCTTTACTTGAAAATTGTTGGGGATGAAGGATGATTAGATGAATGAGATTGATTGACATTGAAGCATGCTCATTAGATTTATCTTGAATCGTTTGTGCTTGATTTTGTTTATTGGGATGAGGCATGTTTTATTGTTCATTGATGAGCTCTTTGCTTAGGGACAAGAAAGGGTTTGGCTTGGGGAAGTTTGATATGTCCAATTTATATAGTGTTTTACCCCCGTCCCACGGTCATAATTAGTAGTGTTTTTGGCTCTTTAGGGCCACTTTTATTACTAATTTTTGTTTTCTAGTGTTTTTGTATTTTTAGTTGAGTTTTACAGGAAATTGCACTTTTGGAACATTTTCCCGGGTTTTCATGGATCAACTACGGAAGCTAGAAGGACACGACCACTCTTGAAGCCCAAGATCGGTGAGAGCCGATGATTAAGGGCTCGATATGTGATACTGGGGCTATTGGATCGATTAATCAAGACCCGATGAGGAAATCTAGATTGGGCCGAGGAATCGAGCCCAATCGAAATCCAAGGCTCGAAGAAGAAGTCGGGCCCGATCGGGCAAACATACGCCCGATCGGGCGGCTACGCGCATAAGCACCTTCAAGGAAGAAGCGTGCCCGATTGGGTGGGCGTAAGCTCGATCGGGCGCGGCATACCAAGCAAGGGCGTTGTAAAAAGGCGGGCCCGATCGGGCGGCCCTTCGCCGGGGCCGCCCGATCGGGCGCGTGTTTTTCTTAGCAGATGATTAGTTTTGTTTTAATTTTTGTTTTGAGGAATGTTTAAGTACAAATTATGTACGTTACCTTTCTCTTAGACTCTCTCTCTACTTAGTTTTTAGATTAATTCTCTCTCTTATACTTTTACTCTCAACCTTATTCTTAATTCCAAATTTATTTTGGTTACGATTTCTCTTCTCTTAATCTTAGTTGTTTACTTTATTCTTTTGATCATGTCTTGTCTTATTGCTTTGATTATTTTAGTTTTTATTATGTGTGAGTAGTTTTATCTCTAGGGTTTATGAGGATCCATAAATAATATGAAAGGGGTAATTTATTGTGTTAACTGTCAATGCTAGATTAATTTCCTATTGATTGATTTAATGCTCTGTGACTAGATTAGGCCTGATCTTTTATGCATGAGTTTGACAATATTGATTCGAGATTCGACAGATGAGAATTGATGTTTAAGTCTAGTTTCAATAGGCAGGTTAATTTATAAATGGTTAAGTCGAGATTCGAAAGATGAGATTTAATACCGGTAAATTAATTGTATGATTATAATACGTAGCGAAAGCCCTTTTTAATCTGATTGATGTATGTATTGATGAATGATTATTATATTCTACCCTGGAATATTATTTATTGGTGAACCTATGCCCTAGATCCTTTTATTCATTGTTTTCTCCCTATTCTTAACCTTCGTAGTTTAGTTTCATATTCGAATTTATATATTGGTTACTTCATAATCTAGATTATATTAGTTAATTAGGAATAGAAAGACTCGTTTCTCTGTGGATTCGACCCTACTTCCCTATCTACATTAGTTAGAGGATTTAGGAATTACTTTTGATCTGGGGATATGACTTTACCCTGTCAAAACTCTTTCTCGATTGCTTGGTTATAAAACCCCTTGTGAAATATTATTTGGCAAACAACCTTCATATGAGCATATTAGGGTGTGGGGGTGCTTATGCTATGCGATAATCAACGGAGTAAAGGTGACAAATTTGCTAGCCGTAGTCGGAAATGTGTGTTTATTGGGTACCCATTCGAGAAAAAGGGGTAGAGAGTTTATGACTTAGAAACCAAAGAAACATTTGTTTCGAGAGATGTGAAGTTCCTTGAACATAAATTTCCTTTTTTAACACCTAATAATTCCCCAAACACGTTGCCTACCCACTTGTTTGATGAGATTGAATGCGGGAGTGAGGATGAATTGAGTATGACTGATGGTGTGCAAGATAGGGGCTTGGAGGTAGAGAGGGAGTGCTTGGATGAAAAGGAGTGCAAGGTGGGAGAGGAGACTTGGGTAATGAGCTCCGCACCCCACCCGCGGCAGGAGGCAGCAGACCGCAGCCAGGCCGCGGAGGACACTATCAGGGCTACTGATCAGCCCGCAGGTTCTCCAGTAGGGCGCTGGTGGGGTTGCTAACTCTAGAGAGGTGCAGGGGGGGTCTGACCAGCACGATCAGCAGAGCAGTGGCGCAACAGCAGCTCCGCAAAACAGTAGTTCGATAGCAGGGGGCCAGCAGGGTGATGTAACTTTGGGCAGAGGTTTGAGAACAAAAATTCCCTCGGTGAAGTTTCGTGACTTCGTGACTCATACGATCCGAAATAGTAGTCCATCTGCGCTTCCTCAACGTTCACCTGTGACATCGCTTTCCTCAGGTACTGTCTACCCTATAACACATTTTATTGATTCTCACCGGTTTTCTATGAAACATTGAACATATATTGCTGCTATTACAGGAGGAAATGAACCCAAAAGTTTCAGGGAGGCCATGAAACACGAGGGTTGGAGAAAGGCTATGGTAGATGAGATAAAGGCACTAGAAGACCAGGGCACTTGGGTGCTAGAGAAATTACCACCGGGTAAAAAGGTACTCGGAAGCAAGTGGGTGTACAAAGAGAAATATGATGAGCACGGAAACTTGCAGAGGTTGAAAGCGAGATTAGTCATCTTTGGCAATCATCAGGTTGAAGGATTAGACTACAATGAGACTTTTGCTCCGGTTGCAAAAATGGTGACAGTTCGAACATTTCTTGCAGTAGCAGCAGTGAAAATTTGGGAAGTTCATCAAATGGACGTTCATAATGCGTTCCTTCATGGTGATTTGGAAGAAGAGGTATATATGAAAATTCATCCTGGTTTTGAGAAAAATAACTCTAACAAAGTTTGCAGGATGATGAAATCATTGTACGGGCTTAAACAAGCTCCGAGATGCTGGTTTGCAAAGCTAGCTACAGCTTTGAAAATTTATGGCTTTAAACAGTCATATTATGATTATTCATTATTTACCCTAACAAAGGGTAAAATGCAGCTCAATGTGTTAGTATAATGTCGATGATTTAATTGTAGCAGGCAACGATAAAACTGCTATGATTTTAAATCTATCATATCTGGGAAATTGTTTCAAGATGAAAGATCTTGGATTGTTGAAATATTTTCTGGGGCTAGAGGGTAGCCCGGAATAAACAGGAAATTTTTATTTGCCAGAGGAAGTATGCGTTGGATATCATTACTGAGGCAGGTTTACTAGATGCTAAGCCTGGAGAGTTCCCTATGGAGCAAAATCACAGGTTGGCTTTAGCTAAGGGAGAGTTTTTTCACGATGTGGAAAAATACCGTCGTCTTATAGGCCGACTGATTTATTTATCTATTACGAGACCGGATTTAGCATATTCAGTTCATATTTTATCACAATTTATGCAAAATCCCAGGATTGATCGTTGGGAAGCAGCTCTGCGAGTTGTTAGATATTTGAAAAAGAGTCCGGGACAGGGAATTTTATTGAGATCTGACAATGCTTTACAGTTGGAAGGTTGGTGTGATTCAGATTGGGCAGGTTGTCCTCTCTCCCGACGTTCCTTGAGTGGTTGGTTTGTGCTTCTTGGTTTGTCCCCTAGTATCGTGGAAAACCAAGAAGCAACCTACAGTTGCTCTTTCTTCATCGGAAGCAGAATATCATTGTATGAATGCAACGACATGCGAATTAAAGTGGTTGAAACGACTTCTTGGTGACTTAGGATCAGAGTTAAACATGAGAATGGGATGCGCCTTTATTATGATAGTCAGTCAGCGTTATATATTGCGCAGAATCCAGTGTTTCTTGAACGAACAAAACATATTGAATCAGATTGTCATTTTGTTCGGGATGCGATAACAGATGGGTTGATTATACCTTCGTATGTTCCTACGACGGTACAGTTGGCAGACATATTTACAAAGGCTTTGGGAAAAGCTAAGTTAGAGTTTCTTCTTCGCAAGTTGGGCATTTGTGACCCGTATGCTCCAACTTGAGGGGGGGTATTGGGATATATTTTAGGAATAATTGTGAAAATATATCCTAGAGAATATTGTGAACTATTTTAGGTTATTTGGTCTTGCCCTCCAAGTATACCTAATATATAAATATTATATGTGGCCATTGTGATTAATGAGAAATACAGAGAAATATTCTTGAGATTAATTTAACAAGGACTAATGCTCCATAACAACAGGTGTCAAAGGTCACCTGTTATGGGCTACAGAGTATCAGCATACCCAGTCCTATGCCTAGGAGTGGCACTTTGTGCATAACCACATTTTAAAAAGGGAGCAAAAATCCTTTCAGTGAGCAATTAGTGGACTTCGATATGACGACAAAAACTTTGATGAAAAACTAGGGTATTATATAATGTCACAAAAATCCAACAAGGGAATGTCTCCTGCTGTGGAAGAGGTCTAAGAAGTACCCAGCTTACCAATAACCTTTTGACCCTAAACCCAACTACGACCAAGAATTTTATTCAGTCCCCGATCAACCATTTGGTTCCTTACATTAGAAACATCCAACCAACGATCTACTGCTGCATAGACATTGGATAACAAAACAAAATTTCCTGCATTATGTGGCTCAAGTTCAACTAGTCGATTGGCTACTACTTCAGCCAATTCAGTATCACAATGTAATCTACATGCCCCAAGAAGTGCTCCCCAGCATTCAGCATGGGCCTCAATTGGTAATGACTTAAGAAGGTCATAGGCTGCTTCTAAGTGGCCAGATCGACCTAGAAGATCAATCATGCAAGCATAATGGTCAGGCGAGGGGGTAATTGAATATTTACTCATCATATCAAATAAGCAGTAACCTTCCTCCACCAGTGCCGCATGGCTGCAGGCTGTGAGGATGACAGTGAAGGCAACATCATCAGGTGTTATCCCTTCAGAAAGCATGTTATAGAATAATTTAACAGCCTCTGCTCCTTGACCATGAAGAGCATGGCCTTGAATCATGGAGCAGTATGAGACTAAATCCCGTTTAGGCATATTATCAAACAAACTCCTTGCTCTCTCCATGTTACCACATTTAGCATTCATATCTACTAATGCTGCAACAACATGTGTACGTTGGAGATCAAACGAGCTTCGGTTCATGTATGAATCAATCTCATTAGCAAGTTTCATATTCCCTACTTGCGCACAAGCGGACATTACACTCACCATTATATGTTCATCAGGCCTAGTATTGCTCAACTTCATCTCTAGAAAAGACTTCACAGCCTCATAAGGAAGCCCATTCTGAGCATACCCAGATATCAAAGCTGACCATAGGACAAGATCCTTTACTGAGCACTGCTCAAAGAAGAAGTTCGCGGAGGACATGTCGCCGCATTTAGCATACCCATCAATCATCATCGTGTAGGAAACCACATTCTTGAAAGGCAATTCATCAAACAACTTCCTAGCACTATCTAACTGTCCAAGCTTTACATACCCACTTATCATGGCATTCCACGAAACCTGATTTCTCTTGGGCATTACATCAAACACTCTCCGTGCATTAACCAAATCCTCAGAATTAACATACCCAACAAGCAAACTAGTCCAAGAAACCACATTTCTCACAGACATTTCATCAAACACTTTCTGGGCATCCCTAATCAACCTACATTTCCCATATAAATCAACCAAACTCGAACCCACAAACACATCATCCTCAACCCCATATTTAATCAATAACCCATGAATCCCAACCCCAACAAAAGCATCCAATTCATTCGCACAACACTTCATCAATGGCGGGAAAGTGTACTTATCTGGAGCACCTTCAGAAGAAGCTCTCATGGCGGAAAACACAGAAAGAGAAGATGACAAAGAAGAGTAATTACAGTGACCCTTTAACAGGGAGTTCCAAAGACAAGTATTGGCGCATGAAACAGAGTTGAACACAGTGGTTGCATACTGGAGGAGAGAGAAAGATGAACAACAGCGTGAAACGAAGTTGGAAATCAAGTAATTGTCATGTTCAAGACCCTTTCGAATGATTTGAACATGGATTTGCTGGAAGCATCGAAGAGTGTTGCAGGATTTCAAAAGGGTGATTATTGGGGGAGATGATGCAGGTAATTGATGCTTCATTGATTGTTTTGAAATTCGATGTCTTGGGCATTTTCTCAACGGATGTTTGTCACTGCAGTTGTTTGAATTTGCTCATTTTTTGTTGTTGTTGTTCTACGAGTCTTCAGTTTGCTCCAGTAGAAACACTAGAAACTGAAACTGTTGATGTCTTCAAAAGGGCTTTTTGCTGAGAAATTCCAAATTGGCAAGTATAAGGCCTATTCTCATACGATTATTTTCAGCTCAGCTCAGCTCAGTTCAGCTCCTAATTTCCTTATCTTATAAAATATTCATTTCGCTTCAGTTCAGTTCAGCTGAGTTCAATTTATGAGAACAGACCCTAAATGTATAATAAATCAGATATGTATTTCAAATGGCAAAATTATAACAAAAAAGCAGACGAATGTCCTGGAGGTGTTGGATAAGATAGCTAAAAGTAGAAGAATTAAATTAAAAATTAACATTAATTACACCGATCGACGCTTGATTCTGTCATGCTTACCCAAATTAATACCACTTTAGGTAATAGTTTAAATGCTTATTTAACGTCCTGGGGGCGTTTGTTAGCAAGATCCAAATTATAAATAAAATACTCCCTTCATGTAGAAATAAGTAAACATTTCTCGTGTTCACGCATCGTATGTCAATGCAATACTTCAACTAAGTATTACTTGTTTTAAGTAAAATTATAATAATTAATTTAATAAATTATTTATTGGAACAATTCCGTATTCAGCATACTCATAAGGTTATAATTACTCTTAGCTATAAACCACTAACATTAGTCAAAGTGAATTACATACATAGTATAAAAAGTCAAAACGTTTCATTAATTTAAATATGGAGGGAGTACAATTTTTTAACTGTTTATTGGTAGACTGTTACTTTAAGTAATAATTTTGCCTATAATAGAGTATGAGATACGACTATACAAATATCTATCAATGTCATCACCGATATACAAAGTAGTAAAGTACTAAGCAAATTAAAGCTTGGTGAAGTTGGTGGGGATCTCACCAAAGTCACAAGTTCGAACCCTACCAATTACATTTGCTTGGGAGTAGAGGATTCCCTTACCTCCCCCTCTACTCTCAAACGTTGAGCAATATTTAACTGAATGTAAGATATATAAAGTACACTATTTGTAACCTAGTTAATGTCTTGAACGTGATGTTAGTCAAGAAAACCTTATTTTAATACGAAGTTTGTATCTGAATTAATATCACTAATATTTTTTTTTTATCTTGAATATAATATCTTAATTAACATCATCTTATTTGTACAAAGAAAAACATGAATTTGAACTTTACCTCTTAGTTCACATGCTATAAATTTGAACAACTTGATACCAAAGCCAAAATGATGCAATAAAAAATTCTAAGCTAAATCATAATGCATCTCGTGAGTTTTTATTTAATACTTGTAATTAACAACTTAATATTAGTGCCTCATCATTTGACAAAGTAAGCAAAATTTTATCTTCACTAATTGAAAATATGAAACAGATAACTGAGCTTAATGATGCTGAAATCACAACACCACCATCAAACCCATTTGTACTTGCATTCCAAAGCCTAACATACAGTGTCAAAATACACCCAAATGCTTCAAGAAATTACTCTGAAGAAAAGCTGTTGTTGCATGACATATCAGGGGAAGTGAAAGAGGGGCAAATCATGGCAGTTTTGGGTGCTAGTGGGTCTGGAAAATCAACCTTAATTGATGCATTGGCGGGTCGAATATCGAAGGAAAGATTAAAAGGGTCAGTAACTTTGGATGGCCAAGAAGTTTTGAGGTCTAATGCCAACATTCTGAAATCAAAATCAGCTTATGTTATGCAGGATGTTATCTTATTTTCAGGGCTAACAGTAGAGGAGACTTTTATGTATTCCGCAGAGTTTTGCCTGCCGAGAACTCTGTCAAAGTCGAAGAAGAGAGCGAGAATTCAAGGACTAATCAGCCAACTCAGGCTAAGGCAGGCTGCTAAGACCGTGATTGGAGATGTTGAGCATAGAGGAATCTCTGGGGGTGAAAGGAAACGAGTTTCGATTGGCATTGAAATCATTCGTGACCCAGCTATCTTGCTGTTAGATGAGCCTACTTCAGGTTTAGACTCGACAAATGCCTTCTTAGTGGCCTGTGTTCTGCAGGGCATTGCTCGAAGGGGGAGCGTTGTGATCTTGTCAGTACATCAGCCTAGTTCTCGGCTTCTAAGCATCATGGATTATCTGATCATTCTTTCTGAAGGACAAGCAGTCTATAGTGGCTCGCCTTCAGGTATCACAGAGTTTTTTGCAGCATGTAATCACTCAATTTTAGGAAATGTAAACAAGGCCGAGTTTGCGCTTGATCTCATCTCCGAGCTCAAGGATTCTCCTGGTGGTGTCACAAGTTTGGTGGAATAAACAAATCTTGCCAAAGGAGGAATAACAATAATCATTCAGAGCTTGCCACTGATTTATCAGCTTTGTCCTTCACTGATGCAGTAAATGCAAGGATTTCAGAAAGCAAATTCTTAGCATCATCAAGTATAATGGTTCCTGAGTTTTCCAATCCAATTTGGGTTGAGACCTATGTGCTCGCGAAAAGATCATTGCTCAACTCAAAAAGAATGCCTAAATCATTCAGGTTTCGGTTTGGTGCAGTGATCCTTGCTGGTGCAATGCTAGCTACCGTGTTTTGGAGGTTAGATGACTCTCCTAAAGGAGTACAAGAACGGCTAGGATTCTTTGCTGCTGCTATAGTCACAACATTCTTCATTTGTGCTGAAGCCATTCCTCATTTTATTCAAGAGAGGTCGGTCTTTATGAGAGAAACTTCAAATAACACTTACAGAAGGTCTTCCTATGTTCTCTCTAATGTCATCACTGCCCTCCCATCTCTGATCTTGTTCTCCTTCACTTTTACTGCAATAACCTTTTGGGCTGTTAGGTTAGGAGGTGGGCTTTCGGGGTTCCTTTGGTTCTTCGGGTTCATGTTAGCCTCGTTCTGGACAGCACATTCATTTGTGACCTTCCTGTCTGCATTGGTGCCCCATGTTCTGATGGGGTATCTATTGGTTGTGACCCTCTTGGCTCAATTTACGCTCTTCAGTGGACTCTTTATAACTCGAAGTCAAATCCCACAGTATTGGATATGGTTTCATTATATGTCGCTGGTTAAGTATCCATATCAAGGGGTTTTACTAAATGAATTTGACAACCCTATGAAGTGTTTAGTTAGCGGGATCCAAATGTTTGATAACACACCTCTCAAGGATGCTCCGCTTGCTTCGAAGGGCAAGGTACTAGAGAGCATGAGCGACATTCTAGGGTTCAACATGACTGGCTCGTGTGTGATGACAGGTTCTAATGTACTACAGCAGTTAGACATCACTGACTTGAGTAAATTAGATTGCTTCTGGATTACAGTGGCTTGGGGTTTTTCCTTTAGGATCTTATTTTACATTGTTTTGTTGTTTGGTAACAAAAACAAGCGGACTTGAGGGAATTTTTTCCTAGGGTTAGTTCAACTCTACCAAATTAATGGTCACAACTAATCTAATATTGTTGCTGTCGAGTTTTATAGGCTAAACCAAAATTTTCATTCATGTACGAAATAAAATACCGGAGGGGACTGATAAAAAGTTTAAATAAGGTCAAACATCTAGTTCAGACTTCAGAGTATTCTTGGCTGATCAGTATTATAGTCATGTTACATTCAGAAAGCATGCTACCGAGATGACATATATTACAACTTACAAGAACAAACCAGTTGCTGCACCTAAGACCTACTGTAGTCACTGAACATGAGATGCTGAATTTCCCATAATACAAAGTTTTACATACAGTCCACATTTTAGTAGTTATGGTTCCACTAATCCAGCACATCCATAGCATAAACAATGGGCAAGGGACGATTATTTCATTGGACAGAACAACAGCCTTCTTGCCCTTTGTAATTTTATTATTCAGCATCATCTTCCACAGTATTGACTCGCTCACACTCGTCAATCCATTCACTGTATCTGTAAATACAAAAGTAATGTAAGGATAAAGAGGATTTAGTAGACAGTAGAACTCACAAGATATTGAGTAAGTAAGACTTACATGTCAACCGGTTCAGTCAGAGCTGCAGACACCAAAAGAAAAGGGACAAAAAATAAAATCAGATAAACTCAAATCCTCACAAATTATACACAAACAATAGTAGACAAAAATTGAACCCAAAATTTGCAATGGACAGCATTAGCCAGCTTTAATATGCCAATATAACAAGCAACATATCAACCTCGTTTGCCATAGCAGATTAACAGGGAAGGAAAGCGGGATAGAGAAATAGAGCAAGTAGAGAAAGATTGTGGGTAGATTCCGTGACAAGCAGCATAACAGGTTTGGGGTATTTTTTTTTCTTTTGAGTGGACAATCAACTAATCTACCAACATGAGACCAGATAAAAAATTATTCAAATACCAGTTCCACTAGGTAAAATTTTATTCATTGATCATCAAATCATAATCATCCCAATGACAGGAAAATCTCGCTACTATTGAAAAAGGAATGGGTTTCATAAAGTAATAATAATACAAATATATAAATAAATAAATAAAACAAACAATTTACAAACCCACTAAGATGTCCAGAATTAATACTGGCTGGAATATGTCCTTGTTCATCATTTCAAAATGAACCCAATGACATGCAAAATTCTGTAATTTAATCACGGTTGCATGTAATTAAATTATGCAAAGCCAGACAGCATGTAGAGCGAGTTGATGATCGATTAGTAAGGCTCAGAAAAGTACCTGTAATTGAAGTGCTGAAGCTCTCTTGACAGATCCTGCATTGGGCTTCGCCTATCAAGTTCTTCATATCACTATAAATCAGGTTAAGTAATAAAATGTCAGCTCAAAATTTAGCCCAATTACACTGCTTTTATATAAAATATTCTTCATGAATACAGTAAGATCTAAACAACACAAAAAAGAAAGAAATAATCGTGGACTCGTGGTAAGGTTAGAACATAGCTGTGTCAAATTCATTATTCACTCTCCCCTTCATGTTAATTTCATTATTTCCTCTAGGCAGGGTTTTTAATTGCTTAAAAGTGATATCATTTCAACCTTGTTCAGAGAAAAGATGTGCTACACTTTATTAAACCCTATTCGATAAAGATATTTTTTGTTGATTGGATAAAAAAGATAAAAGTGGGTTTGCTGAAGTTTGAAAAAGGGCTCGGCTCTGTAGGCGATTTGGTGGTGCATTTGGAAGGAAACAGGCTAACAGATCTTTCAGGATTATTCAGTTTGTCAGCTTTTGCTTAGCTGGGATCAAATTTTAACTCGTGAGCAATGCAAAACTCAACTGTCATATAGTAAGTATATGGGTGTTAACATGTCAAACTGTCAACTTCTTGGGTCTTATAGTTCTATCCTTTATTACTTCCTACATAAATACTCCATCATTTTGGACTAAGACAAAAATTAATTTGTTATCTAATGAAGCCTAATGCAACTTTATGGGTGTTTGTTTGGAACATAGGAAGTTAGGAAGTACCGTTTCCTAGGATTTTTGTTTGCCCATAGATATACTTAAATACACTTCCAAGGAAGTATACTAATCTGCCTCATTCATTGCTGATTTGCTATTTTCCTTGTATACTCTACAGACTTAGGTGCATGTCCAAAGTGACATACTTCGCTTTTTAAAAAAATTATTATTAGCCAAAGTGAAGTGTTAAGTGTACATACCCATAACCCATGTAAGAGTGTCGAGGATTTTGCACAGGCATTTGAGGTACAATGAAGAGTTTGAGCAACATAGAAAATCCAACTACACACATGAAGTTCCACTTACCTCTTTCTTCAATTTGTGTAAAGTACTTCTTAGATATTATAAATTCCTATATATTTTCCAACCAAACACCTCATATTTTCCACTTCCTAGGAAATTCGACTTCTCATACTTTTCCATGTCACCCAAATAAGCACTTACACAGTTATACCCATTGAACAACTGGACTTAATCAGCAAATCTAACTTCCTCTTTAGATTCATGAACTCAAACAGAAAAACACAAGTCATGCAAAGTATACTTACATGCGGCATTCTACACTGGTCCCATGATTGCAGAAGGGGCAGCTAAAAACAGTATCAAGTTTGAGGCTCTTCTTTGGAGGAGGCTTAGCTCTTGACTTTCTCTTCCCCATATCGTGAGGCTAACAACACTGGAAAAAGAACAGTCAAGACAAGACACATAAAAAGAGTAATTGAGAATGCAACCAAAAAAAAGAAAAATTAAAACCCCTGTATGAAAAAAAATGCATGAACTTCGTACTCCATTAAACTGGCTGACTGAATAAATTACAGATTAGAAAACCCATAAATGAAAAGTATGTCCCATGTCACCATGTGGCCAATCATACACAATACAACCCTCAAACAAGACCAAGAAAGCAATAAATGCGACACAAACAGAAAACCCATAGAATGTGCATGCGGAGGGAAACACACACACACACTAGATTATACAAGAAATATAGTAAACCAGACATCAGAAAAGTTTATGAACTGAAATAGTATGAAACTATAACATGACTGGACAAGTGGACAGAGAGCACCCAGGTATGATGAGCTACAAGAATGAGATTGGTTCATTCTCATGGCACACAGAGGACTGATGACCATTGGATACCATTACCAAGAGCAATAGTCTCCAAATAATGCAAACCAGTGATGTAATAAAGCTTTAATTACATCAATAATACCAATCATCATTTTAGTCATTATCATCAACCTTAGCTTATCATAAAATACTTGGAGAACTTGTTCAGGTGACAAATTAAATCAATAAATCCAATGCACCATGAGAAAAAAAAAAATAGTAAATCTAGTCCATCTACTGCCTTTTTAACTAAAGACACTGTTCCACTTGCTCCACACTTCCACACTACAGGTTTGAATTAAAAAGAGGTTGGTGCTTATAAATAGCCTTTTTAAAAGACTGAAAGATAGTGTATAAAATTCTTATGTAGTTAGTTGTAAAGCTAAATCATTCAAAGCAACTGAAGAAAACAAAAGTAACGTTTCGGTCTTTGCTTTCACACAATATAATCTTTTTTCGATAACATCTCCATTAAAGCACAATCTTCTAGATGGACTGGATGACAGTTATATTGGGAAGAAAGCGACACAAAATAAACTCCCTCCGTTTCCATATGTTAGTCCCATATGGAATCAATCACATGAAATAAGAAAATAAGAATCTTAAGAATCTAGCATTAAATTACATTCCTGTTCATTACTAATTTTTCTTTATTCAATTTCTTTATTTTTTTGGGGACAGTATAAACCATAATTGCGGTGCGCATGTGACTTAGCTAGGATTTTAGTGCCAAGTCATCAATCCACCACCATTACAATTAACCAATCAAATGTAACATTTCATAAGGAAATTAACCAATCCCCTCCGTTTCCATATTTTAATCTAGCATTAAATTAACCAATCAAATGTAACATTTCATAAGCTTTAACCAATCAGATTTAAATAAAAATCATGAGAATTAAAATACAACTTTTATCTTTTGCAGTTGGCCTTTTCTACTTATTTTAAGGTTTCGGAATTTTTTTTTTTTTTTTAAATCGAGCAAATAAAAGTTCAAAAAAAAATGGAAAAAAAATGAATCGTAAAAAATAGCAAGCATTTGTACTTTCATCCTAATCAATTCAAAGGAATATGAACCCTGTCATACCAAGAAAAGTTGTGGATGGGAAATCTGATTGGTTAAAGATATGGAAAATTATGAAAATTGAAATGACCGAATTCTGCAAATTTTCGCTCAGAATTATTCATGTCCTTCATGGTTGTAATTTGAGAAGAGAAAAACGACGAGAACAACGTTAATAACAGATCTACACCAACTGACCCAACAAAGAACAATCAAGACAAGGTTTTAGTCTTAAAAGACCATTAAACTATTAAAGTGACAGAAACCACAATTTCGTTGATAATTAACAAATCACAAGTCGAATTAGTATCAGATATACAAGCTTATGAGGAGAGAGAAAGTTAAGGTTTCACAAAATAAACATAAGAGCTTTGTTAAATCTGGTCTCACTGACCAAAGTCGAAGAATAAGGAGAATTATAAAGGATTAGCCTTAAAATTGAGAGAGAAAACTAGGTTCTCCATGTACCGTGAAAGACCGTTGAGAGGTTAAAGAAAGAGAAGAAAGTGGAAGAATCTGGAACTGAAAGAAGTAATAAAAGAATTCAATGAATGAAGTTATGTCGGTGGAAATCTAGGAAAATAATCCCAATAGAATCAAGGATGATTGGGAAATTCAATGGGACAATGAGCGTATAATAAGGAAACAAAAATAGGTTAAAAAACAAATATATTCAATATGGGTATATATTTTTTAAACGCTCAAAATAGCATATGGGACTAACCGATAGAAACGATGGGAGATCAAAGATGGTAATTGGAAAGTGAATGCAACAATTCTGACACTGTGAAATGAGATTGTGCTAGGAGGACAAGAAGAAAAGGTTAATTGGTTACAAAGCTCATTGCTTAACATTGACAGTACATTTAAATTTAAGGAATAAGCATAAAACTTCAGATAGTTACATAGTAAACTCATAAATTCCAGCCGTATTTCTAATGTCTCAAACTTTCAGTAAGTACTCATTCCAAAACAAAAGGCAAATATCATTCTAGGAAATAAAAGGGAAATAAGACAATGTCATCCAAAAGGAGTACTATTGGAAAGAATTTCAGATATTGTGAAGTCTCTGTGCATGCCTTCAACAGTTTAACTCACAGGGTTGTCAATAATTCTCTCAACTTAAAAAAAAAAAAAAAAAAAAAAAAAAAAAAAGGAAACAGCAACAATTTAAAGCTACGAGAATGCTTACAACCTAATACGAAGAATAACAAACACTGTTTTGCATTTTTCTTAAGCAGAACACATGTCTGGCCGCAACTCACTATTCAAAACGTTAGACAGTTATCAAATACCCACAACTTGACCAGGCCCGTCCCTGAGCCAGGGAGTAAAGGTCATAGTCATAGTTCCATCCTCACATTAAAGGGTTATCAACAAACGCCTGCGAAATGCACATGGTTGAACTGATTCAATAGTATTGAACCCTAATTAATCATCAAACTTCTTATAAGGGTTTTCCTAATTAATCATCAAACTTCTTATAAGGGTTTTGGGTGATAAACTTTCAAGCGAATTCAACAGAGCTTACGCAGGCTTGGCTAGCCTCAAATATTCGTGCTCGGCTCGGGGCCGGGCTCTATTAGCCTCAAAATGGTTCATCTTGTGTACACGATAAGGCAAGAACAATGCAACAAATTGGCAATCATATTTGTCTCAAACTCTCAATTACCAAATTAGACTCAAACAATCACATAAAATTATTCTTGCTAAAGAATATCAACGTAAAATGCAAAGAGAAAGATTTAAGCAACAAAATCAAGCGTTATAATTTTCATAACTTGAGTAACTTATAATCAATAGTTCAAGAATTCACCTTAGAAGAACCCTAAATTGACTATACTGGGAATTAAATCAACGATAAACCCTAGATAGTAAAATTGATAATCGGCAATTTGATCAGGAATAAAATATATCTTACCTTAGAAATTGCTTCAACGGAGGAGAGAAAGCTCTAAAGGCGCTCTAATGGAGAATTTGGAGTACGCGTTTCAACGGAGGAGAGAGAAAGAGGAGGGGGGTGCAGCTATTTAAAGGCGTAAAAAAACGAATACTCCAGGACCCATTTTTATTATCCTATTTTTGGTTTTTTTTTCTTTCCGTTACAAAATTATACAGTAAAACTGAAAATAAAAAATGATAGTTAAATAAAAAGGGGAAGATTAATCATACTATTATATTGTAAACATCAAAAATATTATCAATGGTTTGTATTCTTTTCATTAATTTTTAAGGTAACGAAATTTTAAAATAACCCACCAAATCTTAACTTTTGCACTTTTTTACTCCCTCCAATTTTTTTAAATTACATTATATGAGCAGTACTTATATAATACAAATTCTTAAATGGACCTGGTTCATACTAGTTTATTGTGGACCACTAACATTAGAGAAAGTAGGGTTGTTTTATTAATAAAAAAAAGGTCACTATAATTAAAAAAAAGGTCACTATATTGAAATAAAAATTTATTTTGGTAATATATATGCCTAAGTGGTTATTTTTGTAATGAAATATTTTATATACTGATCAATATGAATAATAAAGGCCACTATGTTAAAATTAGGGTAATAGCGTCATATTTCAAGTTCACAATATTATTAAACGTTGTAGTAGTTTTAATAAAGGTTACTAGGTTAAAAATAAGGTTACTATATTAAAAATAATGGTCACTATGTTCAATATAATGTCAGTTGCGTGTGTATAGACCTCGGGTCCACAATAATATTATTGTGGACCAGGTCCACACAAGTCTTTTTGTATAATATAAAGCACACGTGTAGACGTGTAGTCGTGTGCTCGTGTAGAGGATAGGATCTTAGATAGGAATCTTATCAGGTTTTATTTGGCTAGTTATTAATTGGGTTTTCTCCTTTTTTTTTATAATTTATAGTACGGAGTAATATATAAACTGAAAGCGATTTTGGGTGATAAATTTTTCTTTCCCAAAATATCCCACCCATCTTTTAGTTTCTTTACAAAAATAACTACCTTCATTTTTTAAAAAAAAAAACTACCATCAATAAAAAAAAATTAAAAAAAAAAACCTACCATCCTTTATTAAAAAATTAAAAGTTACAAAAAAAAAAAAAAAAAAAAAAAAAAAAAAAAACTACAATACTATTTTTTTTTTTGGAAGTTATATCTTTTTTACACTTAATTAATATTTTTTATTATAATTTTTTTTGAAAGATTTTTTAATTAGAACAAGGTAGATAATATTTCATGAATAAAAAAGTGAGAATTGAGTTATATAAATTTCTTATAATACATACGCTACGTGTGCATGTCTCGTAGCTTGTTATTTTAAAGAGAAAAAACCTTGTTGAATAAGAGAATCTTACAAAACAATCCGCCTCAATTACATGGAAAAGTCACTTTGAATGGTGAAAGATAAGAGAACCCCGCCTCATGATTGTTAGAAAACAATTCTTACTACTCCCTCCGTCCCATAATTACAGACAAATAACTCTAAAAAGTACGGTTTTTAAGGAGGATGGAAAAAATAGAGGAATATTATATGGAAAAGCTAAAAAGTGAAGAATGTTGATAAAAAGTACAGTAGAGAATATTGTATGGAAAAGTTAAAAAGTAGGTAATGATTTTTTAAGTATGTGTGTATTTTGTATGAAAAAGTAAGTAATGATTTTTTTGGTATGTGTGTAATTTGTATGGATAATGGAAAAAATTAGATCTCTTTCCCTAAATAATGTTACTAAAAGATTCAATTCCACAAATACTGTCACATTTTTTATAAATTCCCACTTTACCGTCCACGTCACCGGTTCAAGCTACTTTTTATTTTTTTACGGTTTTTTGTGGAAACCGTTACTTGAAGGGGCGGCTTGATAAACCGCCACTTCAAGTAGGGGTATTTAGTTTAGTAAACCGCCACTTCAAGTGGCGGTTTTAGGTTTTTAAGAACTTTTAAAAAAAAAAAAAAAAAAAAAAAAAAAACTGATCTTCACTCACATTTGTTCTCCTGCTCAAAGCCTCAAACCCACATAAAAAATAATCAAGTCCCTGTTGATGCCGCCGGAGAACAACTTCAGCTTGCGTCCTGCCGCCATCATTGTTGATGTTGTAATTTAGTGTTGGTCCTGGTTGAGAGTTAGTAGTATAATTTAATTTATACCCTAATTTCAATCCAATTGTCAATATAAACTCATTTTGTTTTTTTTTTTTTTTCAATTTACTTGTTTATTTTTTCATTTTTTCTAGATCTATTCAAATTAAGTTATAATTAATTTTTTTTTTTGTAAGTTTTGTGTTTGTTTGATTTGGAGTATTATCAATCTTGGAGAAATATAGTTATGCGATTTGTTTTTGTCTTTTTGATTATTTGTTTGTTGAAAGAATCAGTTTGCAAAATGCTAGCTATGTATATATTTTTTTTAAGTTACAACATAAACCGTTACTTGTTCAAGTAACGGTTTCTAGTTCAACAAACCGCTACTTCAAGTAACGATTTTCAGTTTTGAAAACCCGCGGTTTTTGCTGAATCGATAAAAAAAATCGATTTTTTACGTGGACGGTATTTAGGGAATTTTTTAAAAAATGGCCGTAATTTGGGAATTGAGTCTTTTGACAACATAGGGATCAAAAAGTAAGTAATGATTGGGTGTTATTTTTAGTAATAGGAGGAACATTTTAGAACACCCAAAATAGTATATTTGCCTGTAATTATGGGACGGAGAGAGTAGTTCACTACACTAAATATTACGGGTCCTTAATGAGGTTTTTTTTTTGGAAGAAACATAATGAGTTATTTCAAATAATCCTTTTTCTATGAATTGGTATATACCTGAATTAAACTTTTTTGAGTTTCCCATTGAAGGGATACTTCCTTCGATTTTCTAATATTCTCTAATTTTACATTTGTACTCCCAACTATTTCTACTTTTATTCGGATAAATTTTGACTAAATTTTTATTTATATATCCTCACTTATCATACATACTAATCATACTCTTCAATAATATATATATATATATATATATATATATATATATATATATATATATATATATTTATATATATATCAGGGTAAAGTCGTATCCCCTAATCAAAAATAATTGCTAAGTCCTCTAATTAAAGTAGATAGGGAAGTAGGGTCGATCTCCACAGGGAAACAAGTCTTTTTACTCCTAATTAATTATTATAATCTAAATTATCTAAGTAACCAATATTTATAATTGAGTATGAAACTAAACTACAAGGAATAGGAATAGGGAGAAAACAATATATAAAAGGATCTAGGGCATAGGTTCACCAATAAATAATACTCCAGGGTAAAACATAGTAATCAATCATTGACATTGCATAAATAACATGATTAACAGGCTCTCGCAATTTATTAATCAACATAGATCTAACAGGCTCTCGCAATTTACTAGACCTAAGTTCCTATTAAAATTAGCCTTTAATATTAAATTAACATCTGCTCGATTCATCAATTTAATATTGCTATACTTTTACAAGCCGCAATTGTAAAACATTAAAACAATCCAATAAGAAATTATCATGCAATACCAACAATCAATAATAGTCAATCATCAATGCATCAATTAACCAAATTGTAAAGGGCTTTCGCTACGTATTACAATCACACAATTAATTTATCGGTATTAAATCTCATCTCTCGAATCTCGACTTAACCATTTATAAATTAACCTGCCTATTGAAACTAGACCTAAACATCAATTCTCATCTCTCGCATCTTGAATCAATATTGTCAAACTCATGCATAAAAGATAGGCCTAATCTAGTCACAGAGCATTAAATCAATCAATAGGAAATTAATCTAGCATTGATAATTAACAACAATAAATTACCCCTTCATATTATTTATTAAATCCCCATAAACCCTAGAAATAAAACTACTCACACATAATAGAAACTAAACAAATCAAAGCAATAAAATAAATCATGATGAAAGGAATAAAATAAACAACTAAGATTAAGGGAAGAGAAATCGTTACCAAAAAGTAATCTGGAATTAGGAGTCGATTCAGAACAAAGGTTTAGAGAGAGAATTCTAAGAGAATAATTAAGAGAGTAAAGAAAGAGTAAAGAGGAGAAGAAGAAGATATCCTAAAAACGTATTACGGAGGAGTATTTATACTCCGTACAAAAATCCTAAACTAAAACAAATTAAAACGACGTTAAGCGTCTCCTAACAATAACACGCGCCCGATAGCACCGCCCGATCGGGCGCGCCTTTTTTGCTCATTACTAATAATCTTGCGCCCGGCCGGGCGCGCCTTCGGTCGCCAGCCTTTTTGGCCGGGCGACTCACTTGGGCCCCTATTTGGACTACGATTGGGCTCTAATTCTTCGGGTCAATCTGGGTTTCCTCTTTGGGTCTTGAATACTCGGTCCAAATGCCCCGGTATCACACATACCAAGCCCTTAATCACCGGTTTGATGGCTCTAACCGGCCCTGGGCTATAAAATCTGGTCGTGCTTCTCCAATGTTCGTGATTGCTCCAAAATATCTCGGAAAAATACTCCAAAAGCATAAATCCCTGCAAAAGTCAACCAAATCTACAAAAACACTAGAAAACACCAATGAGTAATAAAAGTGGCTCTAAAGAGCCAAAAACACTACTAATTATGACCAAGGGACGGGGGTAAAATACTATATAAAATAGACACATCAATATATATATATATATATTAAGGGTCTGTTCACTTCAACTTAATTCCAGTTCAGTTCAGCTCCTAATTTCCTTCCCTCATAAAATATTCATTTCGGCTTTATTCAGTTCAGTTTAGTTCAGCACCAATTAGTTCAGTTCTATTCATTTTCAATCAGTTCAATTCAGTTCATTTCAATCTAGCTAAGTAAATGTGAACATCCCAAACTCAAACTCTAATTATTCATCTTCACAACTAATAGCTTGTTAACCGTTAACAGCCAACAACAACTCAGATTCTGTTCTCTTCTGCTTAATTTCAGTTCAGTTCATTTCCTAATTTCCTTCTCTCATAAACAGTTCATTTCACTTCAGCTTAGTAAATCAGAATAGGCCATAACATCTATCTCCACAATTATATATTGCTAAACATGCCTAAAATTATAGAAAAAACTGTAAACAATTACTTCTAATTTTCATTTTTTTTAAATTGTCAACAACTATATTCTCCGATAAAAGTTTCCCCAACCGCTACATTGTCAAACCCAAATTTTTTTTTTACTTAAAAACTAATTAAACACGCCCTAAAATTCAAAATTTTGGTAGAGGCCTAATCAATAATAACTCTAAGCGTTCTTTCAAAAAAATAATAACTCTAAGCGATGCGTAGTTTCACACTTTCACCCACGACATGGCTTGATGAATCATGGGCATCATCCACCCTCCTCTCTCCAAGGAGAATGTCAAATAGGATAATGGTCAGTCAACTATAATGTGAAGCATTATGTATAAACAAAATTTTCCATGTACTAAAATTTTCCAATTGCATATTAACAATTCACAATAACGAGTTCCCTCTAGGTTTTGCCTTGGAAGGGTGTGTTTTCTAGTCGCTTGGGGCTAGGGTTTCCTTGTTTTTTCAAGGTTTTTCTCGATTCTTGATCGAGTATCATTGTTTTTTTGATAAAATCTTTCTTGATTTCTTTGTAATTGATTTCCAATTATGGGGGATAGTAATGAGTTTCTGTCGCTGATTGAGAAGGAAGGGTCGGATAGTAGGAAGTCGGAGGAATTTGCGAAGGATGATCCGAATGAAGCCATTGATTGGGATGAATCTGGGGAGATTGACGATGATGCTAGGGTTGAACTTGCCCTAGTAGGGAAGGTCTAGACGAATAGAAGCATCAACACAAGTGCTTTCATTGCTACAATAAAATCTGTGTGGCAACCAAATCATGGGGTGGATATTACAAATATTGGTAAAAACTTGTTCATGTTCCAATTTTACCATTGGAGAGACAAAAATAAGGTGCTTGAAGAACAACCGTGGCATTTCGATAGGCATGCGCTGGTTTTGGGTGAAACCATGGATTCAGTGAAACCCTCATAGACTCAATTATTTCATCTGCCAATGTGGATAAGAGTTTATAACCTCCCTCTAAAGGGAAGATTGAATGTTTCTAATATTGAAAAAATTGGAAATAAATTGGGCGTGTTTGTGAAGATGGACAGTGAAGCAAAGGTGGGTATCGATAAATCAATACGCCTTCGGGTTATGGTCGACGTGAGAAGACCTCTTATAAAACATGTGAAGCTGAAATTAAGAGGTGGAATTGAAGAGTTTTTTGAGGTAAAATATGAAAAAACCCCTTTGTTTTGTTACTTTTGTGGACTTATGGGACATGGCATAAAGGACTGTGATGAACATAAAGAATGTGATAACCCAACTATTCCTTTTGGGGAGTGGATGAAAGCTTCACCTTGGAAATATAGGCCAGGAATTCGAGGAGAGAATGGTGGGGAAGCAGGGAAATCAAGTGCGGGGGCTTTGTTTGTTACAAAACCAAAGACTAGTGAACAAAGTTAGCAAGAAGCAGTTCATGTACGTGAGTTAACTAGCAAAATCAGTGAGGTGGGTTTGGTTACTAAGGTGCGGTTGGATGTTGAGGGGGGGTCGGATGGTGGAAAAATAAAAAACACAGAAAATAATAATAAGTCTCGGGATGGGACTGGGGTGAGTGTGGAGAGTGAGGAGCCTTCTGGGAGCAATGTTTTTGTCTTTGCTAGTGGGGAAGATGTTTTAAATGAAGACAGTGATGTTACACAGGGGGGAAGGGAGGTATTGGGGAAGGAAAAGTAGGGAAGGTATGGAGGAGGAAGTTGACTATAGTATGGAGGGTAGTATGAGTCTTTCAGGTGAAAAAAGGAGGGGCAGGGAGACAGATTCTAATAAAAGTGATGGGATGATTGATGATGAAGAAAGGGGAGGAAAAAAAAGAAAGTGCTATCGTTGACTGCTGAAAAGGTGGCGAGCCCCACTATTTGGGCTCTCGGTGATAAATGAGCTACATTCTCTCTTGGAACTGTAGGGGTTTGGGGAGGACCGCTACAGTCAATGCGTTAAAACGCATTGTATTTCTTGAGCGTCCCCAGGTTATGTTTCTGTCGGAGACAAGATTGAAGGCTTTTGAGATGGAAAAAATTAAACAAAAAATAAAATTTCATTCTTGTTTTGTTGTTGAGTGTGACGGTGAGGGAAGAAAAAGGAGTGGGGGTCTTGCACTTCTTTGGCAGAGTACAATTGATGTAGTGGTGAGTTCCTATTCTTTAAACCATGTTGATGCGTTGGTAGGGGCAAATGAGCATGAGGAGTGGCGCTTTATGGTTATATATGGGCACCCCGAGGAGGAAAATAAATATAAAACCGGACAGCTGCTTGAAAGTCTCAGAGACACAAATGAAAAATCGTGGCTAGTCGAGGGTGACCTTAATTTAATGCTCCATTCACATGAAAAAAGGGGAGGAAGGGGTTTCTGCTTTGAGGTGGCTGACATTCTTCGTAAGGCAGTTGATAGGTGTCAGCTCGAAGATCTTGGGTTCATTGGGCACGAGTTCACTTGGACAAACAACCAAGGAGGACCGAAAAATATTCAAGAGCGATTAGATAGATTTTTAGCAAATCACGCTTGGAGGGAAGTTTTTATGGGGTCTTTTGTTACTCACCTTACGAAAAGGAGATCCGATCATTTGCCCATTCTTTTATGTATCCAAAAGGCCGTACCAAAACAGAAAAAAAAAAAGAAGAAGAAAAAATTGTATCATTTTGAGGAGATGTGGCTTCGGGATGAGAACTGTGCTGAGATAGTTTCGGAGGCTTGGGAGCGTGGCGGTGATCTTTGTTCGAAAATAGCCTTTACTTCATCAAGGCTAAGTGCATGGAGTAGAGAGAAATTTGGTGACTTTGTGAAGGAGTTGAATGACTGTTAGGCGCAAATGAAACTTTTGATGGGAGAGGATCAATCAGAGGAGGTAATTGCGCAGATGAGAGCTATAGATGACCGTATGGATGAGCTTGAGAGGAGGGAAGAGATGTATTGGAAGCAAAGGAGTAGGCAAGAATGGTTGAAGCATGGTGACAAAAATACGTCCTTTTTCCACAAAAAGGCAAAGCAACGTGAACAGAGAAATAATATTTCTCTTATAAAAGATGCTGCTAGTAATGTGTACAATGATGAGGAGCAAATTTCATAAATGTTTGCTTCTTATTTCGAGGGCCTATTCGCGGGAAACAGTGGTATCGAGCCAGAGCCAGTTTTGGAGAAGGTTGATCCTGTCATTGACGAGAGGCAGTACACGAGTTTGGCAGCCCCTTTCACTGCTGAAGAAGTTCGAGTTGCACTTTTTCAAATGCACCCTACAAAGGCCCCCGGACCAGATGGTATGTCTGCAATCTTTTTTCAAAAATTTTGGGACATAGTTGGGGTTGATGTTGTTGGTAAAGTACTTGATATTTTAAATGATGGGGGGGGATGTAGGTTCGATTAATCAGACTCATATAGTCTTAATTCCGAAAAAAAAGAATGTGAGTCTCCTGTTGATTATAGACCTATTAGCTTGTGTAATGTCCTATATAAAATTGTCACAAAGGTGCTAGCAAATAGATTGAAATTGGTGCTCCCTTACATTGTTCATGAGTTACAAAGTGGTTTTGTTCCGGGACGTCTGATCACGGATAATGTGTTGGTGGCTTATGAATGTTTCCATTATCTCAGAAAGAAAAAAACAGGAAAAAAAGGCTATCTTAGCCTTAAGCTTGATATGAGTAAAGCTTATGATAGGGTGGAGTGGGATTTCCTAAAAAAAATGATGTTAAATTTGGGGATGCCGGAGACTTTTGTGGGGTTGATTATGAACTGTGTTTGTACTGCGTCCTTTGATATTTTGGTCAATGGTCAAGAGAAAGTTCAAGTCGAGCCGGGGTCTTAGACAAGGTGATCTCATTTCTCCTTTCCTGTTTATTCTGTGTGCCGAGGGCTTATCTGCTTTAATCCGTGATGCGGAGGCAGGAATCATATTCATGGTGTGAAAATTGGTAGACATGTCAAATCAATTTCTCACTTATTTTTTTGCAAAGGATAGTCTTCTCTTTGTGAGAGCTACTGAAGAGGAAGTTGAGAATGTGCTCGGGATCCTGTCTACTCATGAAGTGGCTTCAGGTCAGAAACTGAATATGGATAAATCAGAGGTGTCTTTTAGCCGAAACATTGATCAAGAGCGGAAAAATATGCTTCAGATGAAGTTGTCTTTTAAGGCTGTCGAAGGACATGACAAATATCTTAGTTTGCCAACTTACATTGGTAGTTCTAAGAAACAGGTTTTCCAGAATATTCAGGATCAGATTTGGAAAGAAACTTTAAGGGTGGAAGGAGAAGTATTTATCCCAAGCCGGAAAGGAGGTTCTGATTAAATCAATTGCGCAAGCAATCCCGACATATACTATGCAATGTTTTGCGATCCCGGATAGCATTGTAAATGTTGTTGAAAAATTATGTCGTCAGTTTTTTTGGGGACAGAAAGGTGAAGAGAGGAAGATTTGTTGGGTCGCTTGGGGCAAATTGTACGCTTCGAAAAATCAAGGAGGGCTAGGCTTCCGGAATATGAAATTTTTTAATAATAAGGCTCTTCTTGCAAAGCAAATGTGGCGCATTCTCTCCGATGAGGACTCCCTTATGGCTAAGGTTCTTAAAGGCAAATATTTTCCGAACACTACGTTGTTGGAGGCAAAAATCAGACCGAATGCTAGCTATACTTGGCGATCGATCTTGGGTGCTCGTGATGTTCTCATGAAGGGCGCTAGGAAGAATATTGGGGATGGAACATCTATTAATATTTGGAGGGACCCTTGGGTTCCAAATTTGCCTGATTTTAAAGTAGGGTCAAGCCAAGGTACCAATTCTGTGGGTATCAACTGTGTGCACCAGCTGTGGAGTAACAGGGATTGGGATACGAATGTGTTGAAGGCCTTTTTTTCTGAAAATGAGGTCAGCAATATCCAAAATATCCCCATACCTCAGTTTGATCGCAAAGACTCGTGGACTTGGCACTTCACCAAGGATGGTAATTACTCCGTGAGGAGTGCTTATCATGTGTTGATTGAGGAACAAAAGCGTGGGATGGCTTCTCCTTCACATGGGGGTAACCCCTTTGATTGGAAGTCACTATGGCGTGCAGAGCTCCCCCAAAAAATCAAATTATTTGTTTGGCGTACAATTAGAGATACGGTCGCTGCTAGGAGCAATTTAGCTCGAAGAGGTATGACTGTTGATCAATTATGCCCTTTGTGTGGTGAATTTAATGAATGTACTCTGCATATGCTGGTGAAGTGTGGAGATGCGAAGCTAATATGGTATTTATCGCCACTGAGATTAGAAGTGGAGAACTTTGGCGGGGAAACATTTAGGGAGTGGTGTATTTTGGTCAGGAAGACGTTTAAAGATGTGGCTTGGTGGTATATCTTCTGGAGTATTGCATGGGGAGTATGGTTGAAACGCAATAGGTGGTGTTTTGAAGGGAAGAGATATGAGAGGAGTGAAGTTATTCATAGAGTCGTGAGTATGATTGGGGATTTTGAGCAGGCGCAGGAGATCAGCAACACAAACCCCCCTCCCCCGACCTTCGAGTCGTGTTGGAAACCGCCTTTGGAGGGGGTGATCAAGGTGAACTCTGATGCAGCTGTCTTTGCGTCTGGTGGGGTGGGCCTTGGAGGTGTAATGCGAGATTGTGTTGGTGATGTGGTGGTCTCGACATGCCTTAAGCTGGAAGGTAATTTTGAGGTCGATGTAGTTGAAGCTCTTGCTATGAGACACGCTCTTAACATTGCTATAGACTATGGTTTCCGTAAGTTTTGTTTAGAAACTGATTGCTTGAAGTTACATAATCACCTGGTGAAGAGAATGGCTCCTAGCACTGCCTTTGGGACGATAGTAAAGGATATTCTCCGGCTTACTCTGGCTTGCCATCATGTTTCATTTTCTTTTGTTAGGAGAAGTGGCAATCGGGTTGCTCATAATTTAGCTAAATTATGTTTTTCTTTCGATGAACTTAGAGTGTTGATGGAGGATTTTCCTTGCGATGTAACTGAATTTATCGTGGCTGATCAGAGCCTTGATGTTTGATTTGAATAAAGCTATTGCTTCCCGTCAAAAAAAAAAAAAAAAAAAAAAAAAAAACAATTCACAATCTAGTTCAGTATTATCTTGAAGTTTTGGTTGTTATAACCCATATTGCAGAAATCATTTTTATTGGCTAAAATTGTACAACACCACCAACAACAAAGCCTTAGTCCCAAAATAATTTGGGGTTGGCTAAATTGTCATAAATAACCGTACCATATAAAAAATTGGACATATAAGAAAATAATTTGAAAGAAAAAAGGTGAAGCAAAAGAAAAGACCATTCCATTCTTTATACAAAAATTCATCTACATCCAACACTTTCATCATTTACAAGCACTGGTTTAATATGTTAATCCGGAAAACAAAAATTACTATTACAAAAGTTGAGACCAAATCTTTAAAAAATAATTTTGGTCAACATAGCATATTACTAATCCCACTTTTATACAGTTGGTATTGAAGGAGTTGATACCTAGAAGCAAAAATATAAGATAAGTTCACCAATGCATCAGAGAACCTTGGCATCCTTACCTGCACAATAAGATATTTTCAACACAATAAGCGAAATACGGCCAAATACATGAATTTGGAAACCAGCCATTAAAGTTTGAACTAAATTTGTATAACTAATTCCAACAATGCTACAGGATCTGCAAACTGCATTTTATGGAATAATTGGAGTGTGCATAAGTTAAATTTATACAATAATAATAGGGTTATGTATGTTATTAGCTGAAAAAACAACAGATAAGTTCAGTGTTTTTTGAAAAATTAATTATAAAGGGAGAAGCAAAATTAACAGTCATTACAGATGCAGATAAAAGACAAATGTGAAGGGCTCAAACTGCAAAACAAAATGTAGATTAGACACGGTGTTTAAATAGGATCACAATAATGATGACAATAAAATTGGATAAATTAATAAAATTAAAATGTTGCTCTTGCCACATCCAAATGAGCAGCAAAACAAATAAAAGTCCCAACAGAAAATTAGGCATTCAAATTTATAACAAAAGTCCAGCAAAAAGCTGCTGAATGCTGATATATCATGCATCCAAACAAACTTAACAACCCTAGCAGTCACAAATCACAACAGTGTCCCTCACTCCCTCCCTCTCCTTCCTCCTATCTCTCTTTTTCTTATATGTCATTCAAAAATGTAGCTCCCGTGAAATTCTGAGGTCCATTCAGCTAAAAAAATTCTTGGAAGTATAAAGTATAACGATTTACGAATCATAAAGTAGGTCAACCATTAGTATCTAGGCGTGTGGAAACAAAAACTTATGTAAGGGCCCTTGAACTGATAGGTTATCATTACACTGTATAACGCGGAAACGACTTGAATACCAAAAACGGAAGCATATCAAAAAAAGGGAAAACCTAAAGTCACAGGCATCTCTAGCTTCATTTGCACAAAAACGACAGTATTCAAAAACGTTACGGACTTTGGGGACTCAAAAACTAGGACCAGAAAATTTTGTGCTTCCTAGATAATATCAGTACATGTCAGAATGTTCACTTAAAAGATGAAAAAACAGTTCTTGCTTTAGCAATCACCAATTATGTCATCCAATATCCCAAAACACACACTCTACGTTCAGTGATGCAAGCATCACACTGTAACCATGGAAACAAGGTGACAGCCACACAATAATATTTAGCTTCTAAATACATCAATATAAAATTTAAAAACTAAGAAAGAAAAATAAATGTTTCATGACTAAGTCTTTGTTCTTCACCCAAAATTCCTAATCTAAACTTATTATCCTTTATTTTAAGTTTAAAACTTATTTTAACTATTGACCTTCAACTGAGCTTACTGGCTCTCATCTGTCCTTACTTTAAGTTGTAAATTACACTTGGTATCCCTTATTCAACCTTTTGGGACGTTAGTTAGAGCTAAGAGTGTGTTTGAACTGTACAAGAGAAGGGGGGGGGGGGGTGGAGCATGCAGGAGAGGGAAGAGAAAGGGTGATCTTGCATTTTCACTTCAAATTGTTTCTGACATTATAAGGACTTGGAATCTTGAAAACAGAAGATATATGAATCCTTTTTCATGTTTCCAAGCTCTATTCAGACAGCGTTCAGGTCCTTTAGTTAAACAATGGATAAAAATCCCAGAATAAGGAGCATGGAGTACTATAAATGAAGTCACCACACAATAAATATTTAATCAGATGAATGTAATACGGAGTAAAATAAAGTCTTTCTTTGGCATGTTCAGGGGCATTTTAAAACGTATTCCATAGCACATTCACTTCTTATCTTAATCACTCAAAAGTCTGGTGTTACTTTCAACGTAGTTTCAAGCATTAAAATTTGTAACCAAAGCCTGCTACAATCAAGCCCTAACCGCACGGTTACCAGCATCATTGTAAACCTTGTAATAGAGCATCAACATAGATCACACAAGGTATAGAGCATCATCTCCAGTCATTTTATGGCATACATGATAAGAATAAAGGAAGGAGATTCTCTTTGGATGAGTAAGTCAAACTATGCCTCAATCCCTCACAATTAATATCATTTCTCCCCCACTACAAAGAGTAGACATTAGAAATACAAGTCTACAAGAAAATCTCTTCTTTCCTTTAGACTTTGTTCTATAATCTAATTAAGTTTGGGCACAAATTTATTTTCATTTTTTTTATCATCTCATTACATGCCAGACAAATTTTATCACATAGTTTCTATCACACACAATTTACAACTCAATCAGTAAAATTTTACAGAAGAGTAGGGATGTGCTTACGGCTTACCAGTCTTTATAAATGAGTTTATAATGACTGGTTCCGCTCATCCTTACCATATATGCGCTGAAGTTCCCGGGTCGCAGCCAGGAAAGATTCTGACAAACATGAAAAAGAAAGAATATGAGAAATTGCAAACTCCATTAAAAGAAATATTATTAATAACAAAGGTTGGACTAATTGTTCAATAAAAAAAAAATGAAACGATCAATTTAAACTGCAGTCACCTTTCCAAAGCCTGAATGATTTTTGATTGATGGGAGAACCTGTTATTGTTTGTATAACATCAAACAGCATATTCTGTGGAGTATTCCTAAGCTCTTGAACAATCCCGTAAATGGTTTTCCCGTTCTCAAAGTATATGTGATTGTTGGGGTGTTTGGTTTTGCACCCAGCATGACGCTCATACTCATAAGCATTAATAACCTAAACAAACAAATAATAAATCTGCTCATCAGATCAAATGCCGGCCCAAATTTCCAACAAGAAGTTTAAAGAATAGAATACAACAGACCTTGGAAAAGTTGCATGACTGACATCCACAAAGATATCCAGAACCTTTTATGACGCCACGGAGCTCCTTCTAGGATATAAAAGTACAGTAATATCACCATTAATAAGCTAAAGCCAAAAGGAGACTTTGGTACTAACAGCCCAACTATGACCCATCTTCTCTAAAGGTCCAAATTGCTGATTAACAGAATGGTCTTAACTTTAAGGGGTGCAATTTCATATTGATCTAATGACTGATACCCTGAAGAAAAAGTCAATTTGTTTTTTCCTCTGCTTCCTTCTGCCTTCCCACTCCCTTTCCAACTAAAGCCCATATTCCTACCCTCCCAAGTCCCAAACACCCTTACTAGCTCTAACTCCCAAGTCCCAACCACCCTTACTAGCTCTAACTCCCAATGCCACCTGAGAACTAACATCTACCAGACCACCATCAGAAAAAGAAGCACACCGTTGACAGCTTCCATGCCCTCTTCGACCTACTCTCTTTCTTACCCCCACCATACTCATCTTCTTATCCTTCTTCCTTTAAATCTCCTCCCACTTCCTCTATATGTCACCATGCCAAACCCTTAAGCCAGGTAAATGCTTCAAAACTATCAAAGTACACCAAAAGTTCATATCAGATTTCAATAACTTCAAAAAATTAATCATATTGGCCAAAAAAAACCCTATAATAAGTGCCACTACCCCAACTATTTAATCTTAGCACAGCCATAATAATCAAATATCCCGTTGCCTCTATTTCCACTTCTTATTTTAGTCTCCATAACCTATATGCCATCTCAAAGCAAAAGCTTAAAGCTTGATTCTGTCATCATAACTGGCAATTATATGAAAAATAGCAAAATCAATGACATCCCCAAATTTAGAATAATAAACAAAAGCTAAGCTAGAGGGGGGAATGGATTTATAAAGGGATGAGCTACGCTACAAGGATAACCAAGGAATGGGGTTGCTGAAAAGGGATGCAGGTGCTACTTTTCTGATCAGGAAACGAGTTGCCAACAAGACCAAGTGAGAAGCTAGACAGGAAGGGCAAGATAGGGAAGAGGTGGGGGTACAAGTTCCAAATTTTAATATATAAAACAAAATAGAATAAAGAAGGAAAATTTGTCAAAAATAAACCAACCTTTTAGCTGTTAAGTCGAACTTTTGATTAACTATGAGTAATTCAATCTTTGTTGGGTATTTTCCAAAAATGAGTTATGACCTGGTAGTAACCCGATGTAAAGGTTAAACATGCCATGTGTTAAATTGTAATTAGTTTATTTATTTTAATTATAAATTAATTATTTTTTAAAAAAAAACTCTCCCTCTTCCTCTCTCTACAGCTGTTTCTCTCTCCTCTCCATAAACCTCAACTCCTCTCCCTCCCCTCCACCAATCACCACTACTTTCTCTCTCTCCTCTACCAGTTACCATCCCCCTTTTTTTTTTCTCTCTTCTTCTCCACCACCCCTTCTCTCTTCCCTCCCCCAGACCCCCCTTTCTCTCTTCTTCTCCTTCTCCCTCCACTGGCAGACCTGTTTTCAGTAGTGGCTTCAATTGAGAAAGAGGCAGACCACCTTGCAATGACCATGGAAAAGGCAGCCGCAGATGCAGAAGTAGATACGCCGGCCATTTTCTCCTCTCCTCTTCATGTCTAATCTGCATAGACCACCATCCTTCAAACCCCACCATGGTCCATGGACTGCCACTTATTCATCCATTTAATAGCGGCAAAACCACCAAATAAACTCCACCCAAGTTGCTTCATCAATTTCTATCAATTGCAAACCCTAAACCCCTTTAAACCTTGAAGGTTGATCAGCTAGTGCAGGCTACTTCCCAGTCTTAGGAGGGGTTTGGAGGAGAGAGAGTGGGAGGAGAAAGAAAGGCTGAGGGAGATAAAAAGGGAGAGGTGGGGCGACAGTAATGGAGAAAGTTGTTGGTTGTTTTGGGTGGCTTGAGAGGGGTTGCGGTGGTTGGATGGCTTGGGAACTTGCTGATTATTTAGCTTGCTGGTTACTGGTAAAAAAACCCATTGAAAGTTATTACTTAAACATAGGTCGACTTACTCATAGTTAATCAAAAGTTCAACACATTGTGAGCTAACCGCAAAAATGTTGGTTTTTTTTTTTTTGTATATATTTTCCAAAACAAAATGGAAGCAGTTTACAAAAAGGCCAACCAATCTAACTATAAATGCGGCTCTTTTTAACCTTATTAACAGGCTAGTGCAGGTGAGGACTGTTTTGAAAAGTTACCCCCAAAGGAGTGCCGGTGAGAATGATTTTGAGATGACACCTCCAAATGTGGGACTACTACCAATAAAACACTAGTTGGGACTGCTAATATCAATTTCCCCAAGTCAAAAATGAAAACAAAATAAGTAGATTTACCTCTCGTGACCAAGCAATATATTTCACTGGAACCTCATCCAAAATACCAGTAGAAAGCAAACTTCTCACATTCGAAGGAAAATTGTTGGGAGGTGTCTTCTTCGTTGATTTAATGTCCTCTTTCTTCCTGGAGGTACTTTCTGCTCTAGAAGCATTAACCTGAGCAGCAACTATGGCTGCATCAGCATTCGAGACAGTCAAATCCTTCTGATTTAATGTGTCAGACCTTTGAATAGAAGGTTGACCCATTAGCACTTCATAATTGCATGTGAGTGTCCCTGAAGCATCTAAATCATTATCACCATTATACCCACCAAAGGATATTATGTTACTGTCTCCCTTGTTGAATGAGTGGCCCATGGACAATGAATGATTTTGACCTTTGCTGCTAGATAGAGCAATTGTTGTGGTGCTATCATCCCCTTTGTTGTAATTGTTAGTAGCTGGGATGGAGCTATCACCTCTGTACGTATGATTTATGGAGACCATATTATCCCCTTTGCTGAGGTTTCCCACGCAAATGACATTGTTATCCCCCTTACTAAAGTTTTCAGCCATTGGCATTATATTACAATCAGCACCACTGAATGTATTCGCCATTGACATAGTGCTAACATCAGCCTTGTAGGAATGCCCCATTCCCAATGTGTTGCCAGCATCTTTACTAAATGATTGGTCAATTGATATAAAACCATTGTCTTCCCTACCATAAGAGTCCCCAACTGCTACAATATTTTCCTCCTCTCGGCCATATGTCAGACCCATAGATATACCGCTATCATCTACCTTGCCATAACCATGAGCAGTTGACATAACACCCTCAGATTCTCTAGCATATGCAGGCCTTGTAGGCAATGGCAGGAAGTCCGCAGGATCTCTCACTTCACTAACTTTGACTTTCCTTATCCCACCATAGTTGATCCCTGACTTAGGATCTTCCAATGAATGAGTTATAGATAGACCAAATGAGGAATTACTCCCAAATGGATCCTCCGTAACCTTTCTTCCAGTATTCAAGCTACCCATACTGACAGACGCAATATTTCTCTCATCAAAACTAGTAGACCTAATAGCATCAGTATCAAACAATTGTTCAGTAAATTGACTAGGAACCGAGTTAAAACCAGCCACACCTCCCCAAGGAGAAAGAGTAGAGGTCGGTATTCCAACAAATGAATTGCTACCGGGAACTTCTACAGCTTGCTTCTTGTTCGGTAAATACCCTGCCTCACCACCATCGATAAACCATTGGTGCGAGCGCTTGGGTTCAATTCTAGTAGAATTATCATAACTTATCTCCCCATTAGTTAAACAGCCACCATCCTTCGACATCCAATTCTGATAAGACTGCAACATGCAACACATATTTACTCAAAAAACTACTCTAAATCACATTCAAAATCAAACTTGCTAAAATACACCATTAAAATCACATAAATTTTCTACTACAACATTCCATGAAATCAATATTACCCCAAAATTCAAGCTAATTAAGAAAATGGTGAATTTCCTTGATCAACTTATATAATACTACGTAATTCAGATTGTCATGAAATTCAATTACTGCATCAATCACTATACTACCAAACTAAAAAAATAAACTGAAATTGCCTTAAAATACATTCAAACACAACAATTAAAATACAAATTCATCAGCAAAATTAATCAACAAAATTGAAAATATCAAAATAAAAAATTAATCACTGAGATTAAAGGAAACAAATGTATACCATAAATGCAGTTGTTGAGCAAACTTCACTAAGATCTTAGCACTGAAAATCACGAACACAAGTACCATCAATTCATTTACAGAAACTCACGATCATCAACAATTTCCGACCTTCGATCAAATTCGTCTACAGAAGACGAAACGACGGCGTATGAGGTGGTTCAGGAAGATTGATCGAAAAGATGACGAAAGCGGTGGTTGTAGTGACGGTGGTGTTCTAGAAGATTCTAGAAGAAGGTGAAAACCGGCGGTTGATGGCGGCGGAGGTGGTGGTTGACGGAGGAGGGAGGAGAAGCAGCGTGGTGGCGGTGCGGAGTGTAGAGTGAAACTGATACTGAAAATTGAAAACGTGAGAGGGTGTAAAAGATATTTTTTTGGCTGGTTTTTATTTCCGCTAATTAATATAGTGGGTCTAAAATAACCTTCGCGTTTGCATCTGTTTTTGTTAAATCCTAATCTTGTATATAAATTTTTGTATGTGGCTGGCCACATGGTGCGGCAAAGGTCACTTGTAGGGTGTTACTGGTTTTGTCAAGGGTTACTTGTATTTTGGGGTTACTTATATGGGTGTTACTGGTTTTGGTCGGGGTTACTTATAGGGTGTTACTGATTTTGTCAGAGGGTTACTTGTAGGTGTTACTTGTATTCTGGGGTTACTTGTATGGGTGTTACTGGTTTTGGTCGGGGTTACTTGTATGGGTGTTACTGGTTTTGGTCGGGGTTACTTGTATGGGTGTTACTGTTTTGGTCGGGGTTACTTATAGAGTGTTATTGGTTTTGTCAGGGGTTACTTGTAGGTGTTACTTGTATTCTGGGGTTACTTGTATGGGTGTTACTGGTTTTGGTCGGGGTTACTTGTAGAGTGTTACTGGTTTTGTCATGTGTTACTTGTATGGCTGTTATTGGTTTTGATCAGGGGATACTTGTAGGGTGTTACTGGTTTGGTATGGGATTTTGATCTGGAGTTATCTAGAATACAAGTAACACATACAAGTAACCCCACGATACAAGTAACCGATACAAGTAACACCCTACAAGTAACCCATACAAGTAACCTCAAAATACAAGTAACCCTAAAATACAAGTAACCGTGCCGCATCATGTGGCTTGCCGCATGGAAAAACCTCTGAATCTTGTAAATCCTTGCATTTGCATCTGTTTCGTAGATACTCGTTGACATAATGAGATTAACAACTAACGAATAACGATACCCATTGTGTTTGCATCTATTTCATAGTATTTGACTTGGAAATCTTCGTTGACAAAACGAGATTAATGGCAAACGATAACCTTTGCATTTTTATCCGTTTCATAGATTCTAACTTGTGAATCTTCATTGACATAATGAGATTTACGACTAAGCGATTTTAGGCAATGATAATAATTGGATTTTTTTTGTAAATTACCACCCTAAAATTTAACATGTGTTGAAATAATCACCCATTTTTGTTGAAATTAAAAATAACCACCCATATTTTACAAAATTGTAGGTTTTACCACCCTACCTATACTCCGATCAGTTTTCCGAGCATGTGCCCCACAATTTCATTATGAAGAACCCTAATTTTCAATTCAAGTTAAATTGAATGAATCAAACAACGATTACATCGTTAAATTCCTAATAAAACACATTCCAAACAAAAAATATCGTATAACTTGAATTCTACTTCATTAAAACATTGCAAAATAACTAAAAAATAAATAAATATTAAGTGCGATCTTCAATTACCTTGATGTACAAATTGGTGTAAAAAAAATTTAAGTACGTTCTTTAAAGGATTCGCTTGTCAATTTGCAAAACTTGGAGTAAAAATCGGTAGAATTTATGAAAAAAATGAAGAATTTTAAGTTTGGTAGTAGTTTGTGAAACAAGGGAGGAAATAAATCGAGAAATAACTTTTATAAAAATAAAAAACAGCCGTTATGTGGGGCCGATGCTCGAAAAACTGGTCGGAGTATAGGTCGGATGGTAAAACCTACATTTTTTGTAAAATATGGGTGGTTATTTAATTTTTTTAAAAATGGGTGGTTATTTCAATACATGGTACATTTTGGGGCGGTAATTTACAAAAAAATCCTTGTGAGTTAATATTTTGGTGCAAATTTAAGATACTCCATATAAAATTTTTGTTAGTATGAATATCTATGTGAATACTAATATTGATTCATTGGATTTGCGTATGAAGCTATGAACATTGAATTTAGGCGACTAAAAAAGCAATTTGAAATTCAAAGTTGGTTCATTGGTTGTGTACCAACATGGAATTTGGCAATTAAGGAAGCAATCTAGACTTTAGTGCTGCTCAAAAGTCAAAACTAGTAAAAAATTAAAGCATAGTAAATCTTTTGTCCAAAGTTGTTGTATGATTTAACAAAGCAATACGTACCATTTTAGATCACTAGGGAAAAATTTGAGTTAATATTCAAATTAAAAACTTAAAAGACTTAAGGCCTGTTCCGATTCCCTGTTTGAATATTGTATAAGAAAAGGAAATTAGGAAATGAAGTGAACTCTCAACCTTTAATGACACATATGACTATTTAACCATTTAAGGGCCTGTTCTCATACGTTGAAAATCAGTTCAGTTCAACTCCTAATTTCCTTCTCTTATAAAATATTCATTTCACTTCAGTTCAGTTCAGCTGAGTTCAGTCAATGAGAACAGGCCCTAAGCCAATATCAACTACTCCGTATGTTATTTATATGGAAAAAAAAATTCTTATAACTACAAACCATAAGATTTAATAATAATAAAAAAAAACTATATTCAAAGAATAACTTAATTTTGGTTTAACAATGACAATTGCAGTTTTAAAAAGCCTTTTAAAAAAATTACCCTTTTTTTTTAGGAAAATTATTGATTGTACGTCTACAACAATAGCAACCCGGTGCAACGCCCAGGGTCACTCGCTAGTTAATCCATTAAAGATGGAAGCTATAAGAGTTTAAAGTTAGTAGTTATAGCAAAAGACACCACAAAAGTTTAAAGTTAGTAGTTTATCAAAAGACACTACAAGAGTTTAAAGATAGTTGTTTTAGCAACACAACCATACATAAGAATAGTCCCAAATTAATCGCCAAATTTCAACTTACAAGAGTTGAGAATTTTAATATGACTGCCAAAAAATTACCAAAATATATCAATGATTTTAAGGCAATTTACAAAATTAAAGTTTTTAATGTAAAAATTCATTTTTTTTACTACTTGATTGATAGGTTAAGCATGTAGGGTCTAGATTAACGGGTTGTCGTGTAACCCATTTATATAACCGGCTTATGTGTGTCGGTTTGTAATTGAAAATTTCAACCCTGATTCGTGTTGGGTTCGGATCAACCCGATTATGTAAATGAGTCTAAAATTCTTGATCTAAATACGCTTATTTCGAATCGGGGGTTCATTTCAATTTATCGTGTCGTATTAGCTTTTAACAAAGTTGATTTTTCCTCTCAAACACTAAAAAAATACTCACTCTTTCGTATCCTTCTCTCACCTTCTCTAATCTCCAGTTCTCGACTGTACACAAAACCCTCTGAAATTCCATCTGCCATAACTAGGTTTTGAAAATCCCCAAATTTCGAAATCAATTCACATCAAATTAACCAAAAATCCAAACCTATGGATAGCGCATTAGCAAGTGCCGCTGCAATCGGCGATCAGAGGCAGAAAATCGAACAATATCGTCACATTCTCTCTACTGTGTTATCCTCCAATGATGTTTCTCAAGCCAAAAAGTTCATCGATCACAGTACCTTCTCTCTCCTCTTTCCTTTTCGTCTAATTCAATTTCCAATTAATTTTGTTTTTTATTTTTCAATATTGATGCATTTTTTTTTTCAGAAATTTCAATAATGTGTTTGATTTTTGTATGATGAATTACAGTGTTGTCGGATGATGTTCCGCTGGTGGTTTCGCGGCAGCTTTTGCAGAGTTTTACGCAAGAATTAGGGAAGTTGGAGGCCGAACTTCAGAAGGAAATTGCTCATTATACCCTTCAGCAGATTCAACCTCGCGTTGTTTCTTTCGAGGAGCAGGTTTTTTTATTACTCCATTTTTTATTTACAGGATTAGTATCTGTATTGTGCTTCGTTGAGTGCTTATGTTAGTTGTGTTAAATTTGTCGAAATTTCGGAATAAATGGGGCGCTTTTTTAGTATTGAGAGATTTTACTCGTTTGGTTATTTATTGGTTGCTTAAATTCGGTCAGTATTGATGGCGTTTCGTTCAGTTTTTGGAGTTTTAATTTGTTTAGTTATTAGTTGTGTAAAATTCGTATAATTTGTTTAATTCAAATCATTTTCGGACTAAGGCATTATTGTTGTTGTATTAGTAAAATTTGTCATAAGTTTGGTATACTAGTTGCTATTTGTTAAGTGGGGTGTTGGGGTATGGGAGGAATTATCTGCATGCAAAGAAGTGCTTGGATGACGAGCTTTTTTTATATGGCCAAATTGTCTCGAGTTGAGGATTTGAAGTTGTGATTTCGAAGTTGAACTTTATTTTTGGTGCCTGTGTAAAATGTGCTGACCATATAACGAGCATGTTTGGCAACAATGCGGAATCTTGTATGTCTCCAAGGGTTCAAGTGTGATTTGGAGTAGTAAACGACTATAGAACATAGGATACTTAATGTTAGCCTGAGAGGTTTTGGACATTTATTCAGGAAGGAAGAGTATATTCACTTAATGTTGATACTGGTAGTGAAATAATCTGTCTTGAAATGGGCCCCATATCTATTGATGGTGAAATTATTACACTTCTGTGCCATAAGCATGTAACAGCTACCCTTTTGGCATTTTGGTCATGTATGTACAAGTGGATAACTAATACCAAGACCCAATATAGAAGACGTAGAATTGATATGTTTGAGGTTTTACTTGTCCTAAAAAAAATAAGCTTAATTGTGATGGTACCATAATCCCAGGTGAAAGATGATTAGTGGGAGGCATTTGCAAATGATTTAACCCTCAAGAGCACATTGCTGTTTAATAGTGGGGTACTTGTAGTACTGAGCTAGCAGTGTTTGGCCACTTTTGTTCACCATCAACTTGAATTTTATTGTCATCTTCTGATCCTTGATCTATTCATAGCGTGGAATTCAGAATCCTGATTTAGGGCCTGTTTACATTTATTGAAGTAAGCTGAATTGAACTGATTAGAGCTGAAGTGAATTGAACTGATTAGAGCTGAGATGATTAGAGCTAAAATAAATATTTTATGAGAGAAGGAAATTAGGAGCTGAACAACTAATTTTTTTCTCTTAGAACTAGAAGACATAATCTTGAGTTTCATATTTCTTTGTCTTGACTTGCAGGCCCTAACCATCAGGGAAAAGCTGGCTGAGTTGTATGAGTCTGAGCAACAATGGTCAAAAGCAGCTCAGATGCTCAGTGGAATTGATTTGGATTCTGGAATGAGGTCAGACTTTATTCTCTTAGTGCACTATTCGTTGTCATGCTTGACCCTTAAGTTTAATAATTTTCATTTTTTTTTTATATTCTTCAGAGGGATTGATGATTCCTACAGGCTATTAAAATGTGTTCAGATTGCCCGTTTGTATCTTGAGGTACTTGGCATTGTTAATTTTCTGTATATATTACATTTTGCCCCACTCGGTTGGAAATAAGCCATACTATCTATTCGATAAAGAGATTTTTGTGTATCTCATTGGTTTTGAGTTGTTGAGTGTTTATTTAGTTATCTTCTAATGCCTTGGAATTGGCTAGTAAAGTTTCTTAACAATGTCCAATGTCAAAAACCATCCTAAGAATAAGGTTTCTCTAGATGAAACAATGTTGTCAGAGGTTAATAGGATCTTGGAGGGGGGATGGGTTGCTCACCTAACCATTATTGTTGCTCTTTCTTCTTATTTGAGAGGAACATCCAGAAAGCTCATAGAAGTTTGGTTTCAGTATTTCAAATTTTCAACAAAGTTAACGTCATGTTTGTTATTTTTGAAGGATGATGATGCTGTAAATGCTGAAGCTTTTATCAACAAAGCATCTTTCCTGGTCAGCAACAGCCAAAATGAAGTATTAAATTTGCAATATAAGGTTGATATTTTTACCTTTTTGTGAGGAATGCTGCTTCTTTCTTTTTTTCTTTTTTTCTTTTATTTTATTTATTTATTTTATTTTATTTTTTTTTTTTTTTTTTTTGCAAAGCTGTACATTTTCTGATGCATCTTGCCTTCATTTGTGCATAGGTTTGTTATGCAAGGATCCTAGACTTGAAAAGAAAGTTCTTAGAAGCAGCACTACGATATTATGACATATCTCAGATTGAGAAGCGACAAATAGGAGAGGAGTATGTGTTGAAAACCTAATAATTGTTCTTATTTTTAAAATATTTCATTCCGTTGACTTTATTACTCTCCGAATAGATGAGATTTTTGCTTATAATAGATACAAATAGGGGGACCTTTAATAATCGTGCTGTGTATGCTTCATGTGAAAACAAGTGGTAGTATCATGTTGATCTTTGCTCTTTTATTTATTGTGATCTGAATTTTAGTAATGTATCTGATTTGTCGAGCCCAAGGTACTGAATTTGCTGATCACCTTATTAATATGACTTTGAATGTGCCAATCGGTACTAAACTTTTAGATTAGGTTAACATAAGTAAGGTGGCACATTATATTTTGGTACCCGTTCCATGAACCAGAATGTACTGTGGTCTAGGTACCTTTGATCAAGGCTTGATTTGTTGCTATTATAAAGTTCTAGTAAGACTAATAATTATGATAATTTTAGACTTGCTATGATTCTTGTGCAAAGAATGAAAATTTGGTCTATAGTTGTAAATTTGTGACTATCCCATTGTGTTCCTGGTATCTTCCCTAAACAGTTCAGGGTCCGAAATTAGATTCCATGGTACATTGACTCTCATTGCAGTTCAAATCTTCTGTAAAATACCAGAATTTGGACATAGGTGCATGTACGCTTTAGTTTGTGGGCAAATCACATATACTATTTGGAAAAAGGTTGAGTATGACACTTTGATATAGATATCTATGTTGGATAATGGGAGCTTTCATAGGCTGTTAATAGTTTTCCTTTAACATTAATTGGTTCCAGGCCTTCTGGAGTTCCAGTAGTGTGCAGTTTGGAATGTGGTTAATCAACTTTCTATATTCCAACATCCACAAACAAGCTTATTGATGTGTCAACTTGAACAAACACCTGATACGTGTATCTAGTAATATGAATGGCTGCTTTTGATTGTGAAAATCAATGTAGTAGCAGCTGGTGAACTTTTTAAAAAAAATTGCAACTGTTGCAATGTTGCAATCACATGAACCTGGTTAATAAATTAATGGGTATAGGTCATTGTGCTTGGCGGGTAATTTGTGTGCGTGTGTATATATATATTCGAATCTCATGGTTTTCTGTAGTTTTATACAATTGGATGTTATTGTTGAGGTCAAGACAGTCAAGTAAATATAATAAGATATATATGCTGCAATAACTTTACTGTGTCTCTTCTTTTTTGTTCTTCTAATTTTTTGGGTGGGTGAGAGAGGGGTGGAGATGCTTGACTGCTTGAGACTTTTGATGTTGAGAATTATTAGCATGCTGACTTTTTATATGTTTTGTTTTGAAAGGGAAATTGACGAAGCAGCACTAGAGCAAGCTTTATCAGCTGCTGTCACCTGCACGATATTGGCTGGTGCTGGGCCCCAACGTTCTCGGGTTCTTGCTACATTGTACAAGGTATGCATCTTTACTTGATGAGTCGAATATGTTGCTTTTTCCCCCCTTGATGCTTAAATTTTGAACTTTTTACAGGATGAACGTTGCTCAAAGTTAAAGATCTATCCAATACTGCAGAAGGTTATCTCTGCCTTTTCCATTGTAGTTTAGCATACATGTGATAATCTCTGTCAATTGTTTTGACTTCCATTTCTTTAACATACTACGAATACTTGATAATTTAGGTTTATCTAGAAAGGATTCTGAGAAAACCTGAGATCGATGCATTTGCAGAAGAATTGAAACCACATCAGGTTGTAGACTGAACTCTACCCTGTATCCTCAATTTCTCGTTGAATTATGTACTTTCAGGGCTATGGCTAATTTTTATGAAAATTCCACACCTAATTTTCTGACAGAAAGCACTTTTGCCCGACAATTTTACTGTGCTTGATAGAGCAATGATTGAGCACAATCTTCTAAGTGCTAGTAAACTTTACACGAACATAAGGTGAGTAATTCCTTCCTTCCTGCCCCTTGTACAAAAGGAAAAGGTTTGAACTGTTTCATTACTTCCATTAATTGCTATTGACCTTAATCATAATGTCTTTTTGTCATTGTGTAGCTTTGGTGAATTGGGTACATTGCTTGGCATCCCTCCTCATAAGGTTGGTTTTTATCTTGCTTGAGTATACTTTGATAATTGGTATTTTTTTTTTTTTTTTTTTGTTGCTTGAGTATGCTTTTAGAAATGCTTTATTTGAATTTGCAATCCCTCTATCATATATTCTATATTTCTATGTATGGTGGTATTTTGGGTTTATATTGGTGTCTTTAGGTTGCGTGGTTGTGCAATGTAAGATGTAACAACTGTAATGCTTAGTTCGAGTCTTCACCATGTTCATGTTTTCTTTAAAATGAGTTGTTAGTGCTATGATTCTCTTGAGCGTTGGGACGATAAAAGATGAGTGTATTATGCTATTCTTGAGGTCATTTGATTTTATTTGGTCATCCGTCTTCATTGGGACGTAAAGTGGAATTTAGACTAGTGTTTATCAGTATTCTTGTATTTTTCAATCATGCCTATTATTTCTTGCCATTTTATTTTTTGTTTTGAAGATGTTGGTGACTACTTATTGAGATTGAATGTCACCTACAAACTGTAAATGGCTTTTTGGTTCAAGTTCTCTTAAGTTGCAACACCAGTGCTTGTTTACGTTTCAAATGATTTTCTTACTTTCCTATCATATACCTCTCTCATCGAGGTTCTAGTACGCTTTTGGGAGTTGGATATTTTTTAATTTGTTTTTGTTTCCGGGCAGGCTGAGAAGATTGCTTCAAAAATGATATATGAAGATCGAATGAGGGGCTCAATTGATCAGGTATGGTTAAATTTGATCTTATGAATCGTCTTTGAACTTTACTCATTGAAAATTGTTAACGTTCGGGGATTCAATTTGAATAGCGTTATGTCCTTTAAGAGGGAAAAAGAGGAATGGTTCTTGAATAAAAAAGTAAATTGATTGATAAATTAGTCATTCTTACACAATCCAGATTATAGTATGTGATATATGATTGTTGCTTTTTCAGTGGTGAGCATGATATGAACAGGGAATAGGAAAATTTATGTTATGATTGTTATGTATTCAACATCCATCTTTGTTATCCCAAATATTTCAATATGTATGGTGTCCAAAATGGCAACATGTTATGGATGAGTTATAAGAATATGGGTTTTGGGTAGAATTTTTTTTCTTTTTTTTTAAAAAAAGGGTAACATAATTTGTCAATGTGGGACACTGCTGAAGCATCAAACATAATTAATAAATACCCATGGCATAGCACAAGACCTTGGGTGATACTTCCTCCGTTCCAATAATATTGCAACAAGGACGAAATTACGCATCTCAAAGCACACTTTTTAAAATTAAATATCTATAATTCTATAAGAGTAAAAAATTATAAAAAGTTGATATTGAGTAAGTATTTTATGAGACAAATCTAAAAATCCCACATGAAGATTATTTACTTAATGTATTAATCATAAAATGTGGTCAAACAAGCATGATCAATTGTGCAAAAGTCTAGTTGCAATATTACTAGAGTGGAGGAAGTATCATATCGCTCTTGGTGGGCATCTGACCTAAACCTGGCATGGAGTAATAGATGTTATAGCTCTACTCTGCTCTGCATTTAAAAGATATTCACGTTTGGGTTGACACATGGAGGATTAGTGTTCACTGTGAACTATTTGGTAGTGGATAGGAAATTGCTAAGAGAAAATGTTATGATAGAGAGAGAGAGAGAGAGAGAGAATGAGTCAACGTGGCCGAAAGAAAATGAAAAGATTTCTTAAACCTAAATAGGCTGTGAAAATTATTGAGGTACAGAGGGAGTCTTTTTTTTTGAGAAGTTGGGTTATTGATGTATACAGCACAATTAGAAAAGTAGTTGGCTTGCTTTATCTTAATGTGTGTTTGTGGTTGAATAATTCATGCATCAGGTGGAAGCTGTCATACATTTTGAAGACGACACAGAGGAACTGCAACAGTGGGACCAGCAGGTAATTCCTATTATATCTTGCTTGGAATTTGAAAGAACTTGAAAATTAATTGCCCCCCCCCCCAACTCTCTCTCACACACACACACAAAAAAAAAAAAAAAAAAAAAAAAAAAAAAACTGGGCTGGGAAAGAGATGTAGAATTGTAGAAAGTAAAATATGACTTTACAAAGGTAGAGTCGGGGCTGTCTTTTCGCGCAACAAGACCTTGATTACACATGCAGAAGCTTTTCATGCCCAACCAGGGCCTTTGTGAGACATGATAGAATATTTATGAATCCCAGATCACTTCTTCTTTACGAGAGTTTGAAGTGATAGAATCTAGATTGTGAAACATCACTGCCTAAAGAATCCATTATCAGAGTTGCAACTTTCTTGATCACTAACTGGTTTAGTCTCCTTGTGTACATTAGAGATTGAGCTTTCTATTTTTGTGCTGCATCTGATTAACTGTTATAAACACCCTTAATTTGAGGCAGCTATGTGGATTCTTAAGACACTTATGTACAAAGCAAAGTGATCAATCAATTATTTTTACCGATCTCGGCTCCCTTGTTGTAAAGGCATGAGGATCGTTAAATTTAAAATTTGTAAAACTAACCTTCATTAATGTCTGGGATAGTATACATGTAACCAAGCATTCAATACATACTTTGAAATTTCTACCAAGACAATCAATTACCAAGAATAATTAGTGAGATGAAAGATGGTCACCTTGTCTGAGTTTCTTCTTGCCTTGAAGCTTCCCTGTTATGAAACATTGGGAGTCTTAAGATCATATCTTCAAAACTCTCAGGCTAAGTAAAAGTAAATCACACTGCATTTTGAAAACTCTTGAGGCTGGAAACTGTTTAGTAGTCATACAAGTTTGGTTGATTTCAAGCTTAATGCTTTTATCCCTCTTATCTCTTGCGCCAATATATACACATGCGTGACTGGATACATTGTGACATAGGTTGCAGATAAAGTGAGGGGAATGGAAATTTCTTCATTTGTTGGCGTAGAGTAAAATAGTGTGCTTTGGCATGCTAATACATTAAGCTTCTTTTTTTTTTTTTTTTTTTTTTTTTTGTGGCATGCTAATACATTAAGCTTGTCAAACTCTGCAGATAGCTGGCTTATGTCAATCCCTTAATGATATCCTTGATGGCATGGCGAAGAAAATTTATCAAATTCCTGTTTAATCAGGATGCAATTCAGTCACAGCTGCTGGAATTGTTGAGGCTGAAGACTTTTGGCATGACAATTTAATTCGTATATTGCAGTTGCTCCTGCATTTGCATACAAGAGCAATCAGCTTCTTTGGTTGGGCTTTTCTTCTTTGGGGAGAGAAGGCGCTAGATAGGGTGTATAGAAATCTCACTTGATGAAACTGATTCTAACTTGTCAAGGAAGTCATCATTTTGCTAAGATCCTGTCTTCCTTTTTTAAACTCGCTTGTCCATCTGCTTCTGGTGGACAGTATCAATACAAATTGTTTCATTTGCACAGAAAGTTCCTGAATTTTATTCTTGTCAACCAATTTTGGTTGTCAATTTTTCTACTACTTGTTTTCCGGTTGACAAATTGAATGCATTTGGGAAATTATCAGTTGTTCCAGGTTTTGTATTGTATTGGATTTTTTGTTGGATGATATCCTCCTCCAATTGATGAAAATTATGGTGTCAAACAAAGTTATTTCACTGTGGTGTAGATCACAACCAATGCAATCATGCTTTCATAACACAACACTGTCTTATACTACAATATATATATGCATACATTCATGACAGTGCAACCTCTTTGCATTTTGTAAAGTTGGCTGAAATTAAGGCATCCATGATTCCATGGATCCCCAAGAGTAACCCTCAAAACTATGGAAGCTAATTGACCAAACTTCAGTTTCCTACAATTAAACACCCGTAGATTTATTATACTACGTATCTAATTAGCTATGCATGAAAGGAACATTCTAACAATGTAATAAACGGACCGGCAACGGATCGGATTCGGGTTGGATATAGCAAAATTCAAAGATCCGTTTACTAAATGGACTCTAGGCTGGGATTCGAATCCAGTTCGAGTCTGATCCGACTCGTAATTTTAGAATCCGAATCCGATCCGTTATTCGGACCTCCGAATAATCCAAATACTTTTTTTTTGAAATGTGTGATGTGCTTATAATTGCTTGTATTGTCCCTAATATACTTCATTTCTTAAGTCATATTGTCTCAAATAGGACTCGGATTGGACTCCGTCGGACTTTGTGTAGGGTCCAAGTCAGATCCGCCTCCTATTTGGATTCGAATTATTGTTAAACGGGTTTAGATTGGACTTTTTCTCCGGAGCATATTCGAATTGAACTCGGATTGAATTGAGATTCCTAACACAGTTTCCGATTAATTATAATTTTGGATTTAAAGTGTCGACAAGGTAAATACTAATTAGTATGTTATCCGCATTCTAAACACATAATTTGCCTTTATACATTTAAACAAATAGGAGGAACATTTGAAAATTATCCCCTTAGCAGCGGTTGAGGGTATGACTATTGTACCAAGTAGCGCCGTAACGGTTTAGAACATCAACTATCAAGTAATGATGTCTTATATACTCTTGCAACTTTACCCTTTGAGAAACATACTCGTATTTCAATTACTCCGTACTTCCTTCGTTTTGCATTAGTTGCAATAGTAGGCTTGATTCATAGTTTAAGAAAATTACAGACTAGACTTATACGGAGTAAAATATTTGTGAAATTGAGGTTCGAAGAGAGAAATTATAAAATAATAATAGGTTCTTTCCAAATATATTAATATTGCAACTAATATAAAACGGTTAAAAATGAAAAGTTACAACTAACGTGAAACGGAGAAATTCTCTACTCTATGGAGTAGTTTCTCCTTTTAAAACCCTTTAAACCCTCAAATCCCCTCGTTCATCTTCTTCCACACTTCCAAAATTCTCACACCACCTCAAAAAAACCTCCAACAATGGCGTTTCCTCAACAACTTTCTCTCTCCTCTTCCTCCACCCTCTTCTCTCCCCACTTCAAACCCTCCATACCCTTTTTCAAACTCCCCTTCAAAACCCCAAATCATCTCACTTTCAACTCCCTACCTTCTTCTTCTTCCTCCTTTTCTTCTTCCGAAGAACAAGCCATGCTCGAAGCCGTGGCTCAGTCGCAGGGCAATTCACTCCCCTGTGTTCGCACCTATGAAAACGACATGGCGCGCCTCTCTCTCACTGGCTCAGTCGCCTTCGAGCAAGCCCTTACTGCCGCCGCTTCTGACGGCGGAGAAGCTGCCGGTGAACATGTTGATGCTGGGTTGTCTGCCATGGTTGTTGAAGCTCTTTACCCTGGTCCTAATGATGAGCATAGCACTGTTTCTACTAGGCTGGTTAGTTTGAATTTTTAATTGGATATTAATCATTTTGTTGTGCAATTTTGTTTATGTTGTTGTAATTGGTGTTAAGATTATTTGAAAGATTATTGTCCTTTGCAAATGTGTTAAATGGGTATGATTGAAATTCATTTCATTAGTCATTATTAGAACTGTGTAGTGATTAGATTAGAATATGTTGATTATACAACTGGGTGTATTTGTTCATGATATGCTCAACCCGCCGATGAGTGTTAATGAATTGGGGAATATAACATGATTGCTATGAAAGAAAATGAGCACAAACTTTATTACAGTAATTTGGAAGAAAATGGGTATGATTTCTATCAATGTGGAAGATTGTTGGTGTATAATGTACTCATTTTCGCTTAAAAAAGTGAGAGCTCATGTATGGGAATTCCTTGCCAAAAGCATGTAATTCTTTCGGAAATTGTTGTTCTTTGAATTATGTAACCGATCTAGATAGTCTCATGTCAGTTATGTGAACATTTTGCTGTTCTGACTCCTTCAAATGTGTGGTGGAGGTGGGGATTCTGCCTATTAAATGAGAATTTTAAAGCAACATAATCTTATTTGTTGTAAGTTGTTGTACGAGGAGCTGTGGAATTTACCAAAGAGTGCGAGGTGGATTGAGAAACTTGCGATAAACTCCCACATTTCTTTGGAATGATATCACTTTGGCTTTAGGTGGATATTGAGGAAACATGAATGTCCAAATTCTTTTAAAAAAAAGATAAAAGAAATGTATTGTTTTGGACCTTTTGGTGACTATTGGGTTAGATTAGGACATTAGGTCAAATGATATATAGGTGAAATGAGCTCTTACTTAGGGAAGCATTTGGGTTTAGGATGAATACCCACAAAATTTATGTTGTTACAGGGATTTTTTTTTTTGTTTAATGTAAGTGTTATTTTACATCAAATCTCTTAGCACCAAGTTCTATTCGTTTTCCACGGGATTATCTATTCAAATAAGGGTAGATGCTCTTAACTTTCATTTCTTATTACTAGCCTCAAATCCTATGAATGGAGTGACTGCACATTGTTTACAATTTTTTTTTATTTTTTTTTATTTTTTATTTTATTTATTTATTTTTTTACCATTTTTAAAGTGGATATTGCCCCTAAAGATGGAATAGATTTTTGCTTGTAACAGAAAGTGCCTTTTTTTTTTGTTTGGTTTGGGAAGATAATTTATTTAAATTAGTTTCTGCAAGAAGGAAGGGGAACTTTTATAGCTTATGTATTGCTACAATTTGATGCTTATATTGATATTTTAAAAATTAGAGTCTTGCTATAGGTTTTAGTTCATCAGTTGTAACTTGTAAGGATGTGTACATTTGGTCCTGTAAAGATGGCAAGGCCTACTAAATTACCAGTGGTAGAGGGGCTAGGTAGTTGCTGTGTCTTGGTCCCAATATATCATGAATCATGGAGCATATCTCAGCATTTTGGCCCTTACTTTTGTTAATATCAATCATGACAGTTGCAATAAAAAACATTTAGTAAATTGACTATATTGGTGGTACTTAGTCAAGGACTTAATTTTAAGCCTTGATTTCTTTCTGCAAATCACCTCAGACTGAATGATATGCTGTACAATCCCACTTGGGGTGCTTACTGGTTTTTCATTTTTCTTAATGATGCCAAAAGTGAATGTAGGATAATGTCTGATGGAGTTTATGTCTAATCTTTTGATTAATTATCGAGTATCTGTTCTTTGTTTTCGTAGTTTCTCCCAGCTAAGAAGGTGAAAGAGAAAGCAAGGAAGCTAAGGAGTTCCCTCCCTGAAGATATGCTGTCTGGCACAAATTCAAGTAATATACTTGCAATGACATTTAGACAAGTTGTAGTTCAGGAGCTCTGGAACTTTGAATTGGCAGTATTTCGACCTGGATCACAAAGAAATATGGAGGATCTTGGAAGCCCAAGAGAGGTCAAGCTTTATTCCTTACTAGCATTGTTTTGACAATATTGTGATAAATAATCCGCCTTTCTCTGTTGTAATACCACATAAAACATGTTTGGCCTGCAGGTATCTCATGGTACTGATTGGTTCAGTTCTCTTATGCCTTTGCCATCGGCAGGTTACTGCTTCTTTTGTTCTCAGCTCATCAGATGATAAGGTCATTGCTGGACTTGCTGAAGCTGTTTGCATGTTGGCTCTAGAAAGCACTCAAAAGGAATTTTTTCAGGAATCAGCAGGGAGGGCATCGGATGGTCTCTTCAATTGGTTTTCAAAAACTAAGCAGTTTTCATCAAAAGATTCATCAGTGATGATACATAGGTTTGAGGATAAAATAGTTGAAAAGGCCAAAAGCCTTTTTGATAAGTTCAACGTGGTAAGAGCAAAGTATAAGATGACAAACAAGAAACCAACGAGCTCTGCATGGACGTCATTGATGCAATCTAAATTGGAAAAGATTGGTGGATCTGAATTTAGTATGTGGACAATGGAGTATGTACCTGCTTATAAGCTTCAGATTGATGCTGATAGACTCACTAATCTGAAGTTTGAAGGATGGAAAAGGACAATGGGAAATTGTTGGGAAGTTTTCTTAACCCATTCGCAAATGGTAATTTTCCCCCCTCGCCCCCCCCCCCCTTTAATTTGTTGTACTACGTATAAAGATTTGATGAGGAAATGTATCCATTTCTATATACTTTGTTATTTGGACAAAAATATTGCAGTGTGCAAGTATCAATGTAAAGGCGTTCTCATGAGAGCTTTGAATTTTGTGTATTGAGAGGGAGTTTTTTTTTTTTTTTTTTTTTTTGGGGGGGGGGGGGAGGGTGCCAGGTTGGGTTGTGGGGGAGTAGTGGAAATTGATTGTACGATAAAGAAGAAGCCTGGAATTAAAGATATAAGAGTGATGTGAGAAGAGATAGTTGTATACGGAAGAATAAGGTGGCCGGATGCAGGGAGAGTGCTAATGTATATGGAATGGAAATAGGAAGTGAGGAAGATGACCTTATGTTGTTTGACTGGTGTGACTTGTAGACGCTTTATTTTAATGTTTTTTTTTAATAAAAAAAAATCAATATTGTTATTAACTGGTTTTTTTTAATGTAATCTTTCATACTCAACCTTTAAATTATTTCTATAGCTAATTGTTAAGCAACAAAAACTCAGATATGTAGTGAGCTTGGGAAGACTGGGTTTTGTTTTGAGAGTTTATGGCCAGGTAGGTTGAACCATGGTAACTGAAAAATACAAAGTATGTGATAGAATATCTGGATTGAATGAAAGTTAGTCAGATGAATGTTTCATTGTTGGGATAAAGAAGGCTACGGGCCTT